AAAAAGGAAAATGTCACCTTCCACCTCAAACATCGTAATCGATATCCGAGCTATTCCAAACCAACGACCGTCTCACCAATTTCCCCTGCTCGTCGTACAAATCAAGATTCTCGCACGGAGCAGGATAAATGGTCCCTACCACTTGGCCCTGCACGTAACCACACTGGAATACGTTCTTCCTTTTATCCGTCACACCAACCGAAATGTCCCGGAAAGTGACGTTGGTCACGGGTATCTCCACACTCCCCTGGATGCGGACGGGCACACGGACCCCCTCGCCGTGAACCGTTTCGTAGCTGATGTCAGCCAGCACCGGGAAGGCCCGGGGATCGTAGCCCCCGTCCGGGTGCTCGTTGTAGTCCGTCTTTATCACAATGCCCACCCGAACGTTGTCGAACGTCAGGTTTCGATATCTGATGCCCACCCAAATAGTATGGCAGGATTAATGTACACGTGATGAATGATTAATGTATTTCTTTTTGACGAATAGGACCGACAAAGGGCTGAATCTCAGCGGATGTGTGAATGATAATGTATAGTAATGAATATGCACAATTGTTGAAGATTAAAAAGATAGAAGAAATACTAGTCACATGAAACATTTTTCTTTTGTGCTTGAATGTCACTAATACACAATGGATATATAGTCAATTAGTGATAAATATGTGGATGATGGATGATGAACATTCAAGGAACAGTGACAAATAAGCCTATGTTTGGTAAACTAGTTGATATCAGCTAGCTGATAATCTAGCTTATAGCTTATCAGTAATTTTCGAGCTTATAGCTTATGACTTGTAGCTGAAAAGATAGCTTATATGATAAAAGTGTTTGGTAAAATTAACTTGAAATAAAAATTTCAACGAGCTTATTTGAAAAGCTACCAAAGAAGCTTATGAAATAAGCTCGAGCTTTTTAAAAAAAACTCATCATACGAAACGAAGCTTATTTAAATACAAGAAGCTTATAAGCTAATTAAATAAGCTATAAGCTAGCGTATTTGTCTACCAAACATAACGATTCATATTCATCACTCCAATCCCTACCTGATGTCCCGGACATATCCGCCCCTTCCAGAGGCCGTCTTGATCCGGACCGCGCGCCTTGAGCTCCACACGTGGATGTTCTCAATCGTGACATTTGACACACCTCCCGACATCTCGCTGCCAATTGATATGCCAGCACTAAGAAGAAACATTTGAGTTAAGAAAAAAAAATGGAAAACGAGAGTAAGAAAATGGAAAAAGAAAAAACATTTTAATTTTTACCTGACGTTAGAACGGACGACAAGGTTTCTGAGGAGAATATTCTTGGAGGGGCGTCCGTAGGACGTGCCATATTGGTCCCAGCCGCTCTTGATCGCGACACAATCGTCCCCGACACTTATGTAGCAGTCCTCGATCACCATATCCTGACATGAATCTGTTCAATATAAAATTCGATTAGGTCTGTTTTCCAGCTGGAAGTATGAAATTTCAAGGCATGAGAAGTGGCAAAATAGTGATGTTGATTTTTGTACTGAAGTTGGTTAAAAAAAATATTACTAAATGCAAATTAAACTCTGACGCTTCTTTTTCTTTCTTCTCGAGAATCGAAGATTTTTAATTTTTATTTTGAAACGAGCTTGGGGAAATGGGGTCATATGAAAATTAACTATCATATCCATCTAGCAAAATCCCATGTTGTTGTTACAAATATATTGCATATATTCGGCAGGTCCTGAAGCCCATATACTCTTGTGGCCAGCAAACCCAAACCTTTTTGATAAGGATAAGTTATCATGTGCCTTATCAGTCTCGATCCTAGGGTGCTAGTAGGATGATTATTTTATCAAATTATCAATCACACTGTATAAAGGATTTTTAAGCATTTACCTATGATGCGCTGTCTAAATCATTTCAAGACTAGTGTGGATTCTCAACTTCTACGCCTATTCCCAATCCATCTTAAAGGAAAAAAAAAATGAAAAAAACCTGACTGTTCATTGAGTGTCCCACTACCATTCTCAATGGTTATTCAGTGAACTTACTTTTCACAGTTGTCAAATGCAACAATAAAAGAAAATGACTGAAAAACCACAATATTGTCCACCCAGTTACCTAAACACTCATACGTGATAGAACGAAAGAAGAAACTTACCAGGATCTATACCATCTGTATTTGGAGCTTGATAAACAGGTGCAAGGATGGTTAAATTTTTTAGCCTTACATTCCTACAGTCGTACGGGTGAAGTGTCCAAAACGGGGAATCACGTAAAGTTATGTTAGATATCACGATGTCAGAGGACCACATGATCTGCACAAGTGGTCCCCTTGTGTGGTTAAGAAGCTTCTGTTTATACTTCCTCCACCATATTTGACCCTGTCCATTAATGGTGCCATTATGCCCTGTTACAAGGAATGAAAAGCAAGTTTTCAGTAAACAAATTTATTTTACCCAAAAAATATAAATAGCTTCAAAGAAGTGAGTGGTATAAAAGATTTTTGGCATTCTTGGTTTCTAGAAATGCAAATTATTTTCTAATTATGGATTACCTTTGGCACAAAAAGGTACCGTAGTCTTTATACTGCAGATACATGTATAAAATTCAACCAAAAACGTTATTAAACAATCCACTGATCAGAATAAAGTCAACAAGTCAGATCAGTGCTTAATTTCATTAAGAAGTTTCTCAAACCTCATAGAGGCTTTGCAACTTATTGGTTTAGCAATAAATGCTTCTCACGAGTTCATTTCTGAATCAAAACCACACCAAAGGTTAAGCTGAACCAAGTACAAGACCTTTAAAACACCTAAACAACTTATCATGCACAGTTTGACATGGTGACATATCACATATATGTCACACTCTCAACATGCAATGTGGCAATTTTCCCAACACTTAGGACATGGCATGACTTGTACATGGCTAAACACATACAAGGTAAGCCATTTCAAATATGCATTTTATAAAAACTTGTAGGATTTAGATTAAAATTGAATAGACTTAGAATTAATAAAATTGTGGGAGAAAGAAGACTTGTGAGAATATGCGTGCAACATTGCTGTTTCTGAATTTTATACTTATTTTTATATAAGTTCTTGCAGCCGAGACCTTAAGCCTTGAAAATAAGAACCTAAATGCGTACAAAATATGCATTTATTTTGTTTGACACACCTTATACTTTCCTTCTCTTTCAGTTTCCTTTCTCTTTTAAATCTACAAATGTTATTCCCTACAGATACCTGCTTATGTATATGCTCCAGGCTGTTTGACATTTACAGTCTGCAAAGTTTTGTTATCCATGCTGTATAGTTACTCCTCAATTACATGAGCAATAAAATATCCTCCAATGAGCAATATAGTTCCACACAGAAGAAAAAGGATTAGCATTACAGCTTCTAAATCGGTATAACGTACACCCACCCTTATGTCCCTATCCACAAGAACAAAGCATGAAAACCCATGGATTAAAATGCTGACCTGTAATAACAACATCTTTGAGATATTGGCCATGGATTAAACTTCCATATCGTGGACCAGGATGCTCTCTCCCATATCCGTAAGAAGGTAATGGAGGCATGAGTGGCCAATACTTCTCATCCTGATGAAAAAGGATAGCTATAACACTAATTATGACAATGCTGGATAAAACCCAAGCCATTTTACTGCACACTGGAAGATATTGATCTTTCCGATATTATTGTGTATTTGAACTCATACAAGAACATCATACACTCAATCTTCCCAGTAGTAAATGTCAACGGTGGAAAATCAAGCTAAGAAATTGGAGCAATACTCGGCAAATGAAGTACGTTATATTTTCCAAGATAGTTAAGTATTACTAGAAATCACTACAAAACAAAGGAAATCTGTAAATGTTTACTGAAGAAAGTAATCCATAACATGTGGAAGAAGCACATTAAGCAAAAACAAAAGGTGGAAATAAAAAATAAATAAACTAATGAACAAACAGAATTTTGTGTGTACAAGTTCAACATCAACAGAAGGAACACCATTGAAACTCTTAAAGGAATATGGGAAGGGAAATACGGTGGATAAATTTTTTGCAACACAATAGATGTTTCTGGGTTGAAAAATATGATCTTCTCAAATTAACCACCAATATATTACACATCATAAGGCTTAAGGAGAATGCGTGACAAAGTGTACTGCTTGGAGTACTAGAGGACTTCTATAATTTGAAGGGAATCAAGTTGGGTCCCATTCTCAAAGCAATTCACACCGGACCTCGAAATTAAAGATCATAATGATGCACGAGAAGGTAAATGTATTGTCCTTTGACATTTATAAACTCATAGGAAGCACCCAAATATTGTTAAAGATTAGGAAGCTGAAAACTAAGAAGATGAAGTGAAAAAGAAATAGAACTAACAGTTCATTGGAAACATACACAAATAGATTCTGCACACAAGCACATCCCTTTTTTAGTATGTAACAAAACTCTATTGACAATTATTAGTCCATTAGTAAGAGGTTAAATGCTTAATTATGTTCATGTACCTCCAATTTCCATGCCAAATCCATAGAAGTTTCATTTTAAAGATGATAATGCAATGTACTGACCACACAACGTTTTTTATTTTACGACTTTAAAACATACACAAAACAGAAGTGCATTCATTTTTTTCCAGTATTCCAAGAATAAAACCATCTAAGGATTAAATACACAGTTACTTTTAAGCGAAAATGCAATCATTTTGAGAATGTAAGTTAATCAACCAAACAGCTATATCGAGGCATGTAAACACTCTAGCAACCAAATTAAATCAATCAACTATCAAAGCTAGCAAATTCTCTATGACTTCCAAAAAATGAGAGAGCAGAAAAAACACTAACATTGATGCCGAGAATAACAGCACCCTCAGCGAGGAAGAGAGTCATGTGACTAGTCAGATTAAACGGGGCCGTAAGCCAATTTCCGGGCGGCACATTGAGCTGACCGCCACCCTTTTTCCCGAGCTTGGAAATCGCCGCCACCGCCCGCTCGAACGCGGCCGTATTGAGGGTTACCCCATCACCCACCCCTCCGAAGTCCGTCAAGTTAAAAGCGACGGGCCTCAGCTTCGGGAACTGCCAAGACGAAAAATCTCGCCGGAAAATCGACAATCCGCCGGCGGTAGCTTCCTTCTGCCAATAGAAGGCGGTGAAGAAGAGCGCCAAACAGACGGTGGTCAGGAGAGTCTTATGAATGGAGAAGAAAGTGGCGGGGAAGGGCATCCAGCGGCGGCGGTGGTGGTGGTGGTGGTGGTTGGCGGCGCACAACGAGGCCCACCATCTCCGCCAACAGCACGATGGGGTCGACGTGGGCGTTGACGTTTCCACCATCTAAATCCACTTGTTCTTGGCGAATTTTCCCAAGGTTTTGGGAATGGAACAGTACAGCAGATGAATGGTGTGAGCCAAGAAAATCTCGGCCTGTGCTGTGCAGAGGTTTTTGGCCTGATGAGCTTGAAAATATATAATGGGAAATGAGAATGGCCGGTGGAAGGTGAAGATCAATCAGAAGCTCGGTGAGATGGAGTTTGGTGAAGCATATTGCAAGGGAAGTGAGATTTTAGACTCGGTGTTTCGATTGGGTTTGAATTTAGGGGTTTTGTTTGAACTTTGAATATTAGGAGGATCTATTAGCATTTTTTAAGTATGGACTTCATTCAATTAACTTCATACATATTGAGTCAGTTTCTTTACATATTTGAGATTGAAATAATACATCTATTTTGTACGATTTTGCTATGAAGCCAACAGTTGGCTTCATAATGGAGTCAACCTTCTATATACAACAAATAAACCTACCATACTAATAAAATTATATTAGTGTTATTTAAATAATCAAAGTTTATTTGTTGTATATAGAAGGTTGACTCCACTATGAAGTCAACTGTTGGCTTCATAGCAAAACCGCTATTTTGTATTTGCATATGTGAGATCGAAATAATAGAAATATCTCTATTTCATATTTTAGTAATTATAGACTCTGTTTAATAGAGTCATGAATAAACTAAGAGTGCATTTTTTAAATACTTTTTCTGCTATTCATATATACATATATCAAGTTCTCATTTTTAAATATGTTGCAAAAGATATTTTCATCCAATTTAAAGGTAACAAAATTATCTAGCATATATATTAATACATATACTCATGATTTTGTTTTTTAAATCCATGTGATAAACGTTGTTCATTAATCTCAATTTTCATAACCCAAATTTGAGGAATAATAGAATGCAAAAAACAATCTTATCATTTTGAACGTCTTACACACCTAAAAAATCGACAAAATAATCCAAAATTCCAAATTTTAAATATTTTTTATTCTATCTTATCAAGTTGAACGTATGAATCATAATATGGTGTTATCACCTTATCATCTTAAACGTCAATATCATTTATCTTTGTCTATAAAATGATCGTTCCCTTCGATTTTTTAATTCACTATCACAACACAGTGATCTAATATCTATTCTATTAATATATAAAGAGGGAACCTAAATAATTCTAAAATAGTAAGTAAAAAATAAGATGAAATCCCGCCTAAAAAATAGCTAAATATAGTAAATTTTGTTTGAAATTTTCGACACATGCCGCTGGATCATTTGAATTTTTGGCAAATTTAAAATTTGGTCATTATCCCAATTCTTCATCTTATTGTTTGAAATTTTCGGTAGTTACATGAACAAAACAATTTTAAGATGTTTGAGATTAGGTTTGTTAATATTGAAACAAATCCTCCTTAAATTTGGAAAGCATATCCGTTTTTTTGTTCTTTTTGGACACTCCCAAATATTTTTGGTGAATAAATAGATTAACATTTAATATTGAAACAAATCCACTTTAATATTTAGAAAGTATAAATGTTTCGTTTGAATAAAACTCCTATACATGTTTCGTTTGAATTAAATGTTAATTATATACATGTTTGGCATAGTTTTTCAATCCGGACTGGCCCGACGGGTCAATCAGGAGCCGGAACCGGTCCGGGTGGACTATTCGGACTGGGCAACAAAGGACCCGGTTAAAAACCGGCCAACCCAGCCTTGACCAAGTCGACCCGGGGCATTGACCCGGCTGGGTCAATCTGGTTGATCCGACCCCTATATATTTTTTAATTTTTTTTAAAAAATATTTTTGGTTTTTAAAAACAAAACTATGTATATATATTTATATGGTAAATATTTATCATGAAATACATATAATTAACACTTTAATGTACAAATTTTATATACAAAATATTTAATTTGGTTACTTTTATGTATATTTATATGAAAAAATACTCTATATATCATTTAGAAATTTTAAAATTAATTATCCCGTTCAGCAATTGACCCGATGACCCGGTGGTTGAACCGGTGACCCGATGACCCAGAGACCTGCCGGGTCGATTCTCGGGCTGAGTTTGAAAACTATGAGGTTTGGTGAATAAAACTCAAATCAAATGTTTAATATTTTTGGTAACTAAAAATAATTATTATTTTTTTTTGGTGAAACAAATATTAAATGTTAAATTTTATAAAACTGCACTTTTGGTGAATAGAACTCAAATCAAATGTTTCGTTTGAAACTTAAATATTTTTGGTGGATAAATAAATTAACATTTGAATTATTTAATAATTATTGAAATAAATGTCTTATCATGTAGAGATTTGTGAAAACAAAACTCTTATACATGTTTCGTTTGAAATTTTTGAAATCTAATAAATGTAGTCAGTATCTCAAGCTCATTTTCCAACTAACAATTCATAGATATAGATTAGTTAATTTAATAATTATTGAAATAAATGTCTTATCATGTAGAGATTTGTGAAAACAAAACTCTTAGACGTGTTGATTTTTAATAATATATATATATATATAACGGTTTGTATTTACTTGGAATAGAAACTAAAATACATATCTACGCACTATTTGAATCTATTTTTTTTATCCTTACAACCGTTTAAACTTATTTGCAAATTAATATCATCAAATNTTAATTAGCTGATTTGACAGGACACACACATTGCGTTAATAGTGTGTTATAAATTAGTGTTAAACCCGTGCGATGCACGGAGCATATGGTTCAATAATATTTATTTTAGTATGTTATTAATTAATTAATTAAAATTTATGTTTATGCAATTCAAATTTAAAAAAAAAAATAAAATTTATTTCAATAGCATTAAACATTTCATTATAAATAGATTTATTGTATGACCGGTCACAGTTTGATATGCACAAACTAATATTTTTAAACCAATATCACTGCTTACGTGTCTTATACCACATAATAGAGTTTTTCATTGATTGGAAAATAATAGACTGACCTGTGTTTTACTAATAGAACATGATTTATTATTTTTTTATTTTTTTTATTTTTATATTCATCCATCATCACATAGGAAATCATAAGTGGTAACTGGTACCATGTGAATTTGAAAGGTATTTGTAAATCAAATGGAGAGAACACATCACATATAGTTAAAAGACAATATATTTTAATTAGATATTATTTTATTTTAAAAAAAGATATATACAATTGAACCACTTTATATTTATATATTATTAAAAACTTTCTTGTACAAAATATTTTCGTTCTGAGTCTTAGAAGCTCGATCTCCACACACTAAGAAATAGCACAATAACATAATTGAAATAGCACATTATATAAATCAATCATGGACAATAAAGGCACCTGAGAATCATGAAAAGTGCATTCAAAAAACTGAAATCACATTTTTCCCATGGGTTGTAATCCTTTCGTACATCCTAACTAGATGAAATGACACAAAGAGAGGAACTATTTTATGAAACTTTGTTAAGTATCTATATCTATATATATATATAAAAAGGTTTGATTACTTTTTAAATAATAACTATTTCCCTCCAAAAAAATCTATTTACTATTTCAGAAAATCATTTAATAATTTATGGCATATTTCTAATAATCACTTATGGAAATGGCGGCTCATTATTTAAGGATATAATTAAGCCATAAAAAAAATAAATTTGTAAGATACCTTAATTACTCAAATCATGTGGTTCTGCAGATTTATCCAAATATGGGAACTTTGGCTGCAATATCAATTATGTGATTTATTAAAAAAAAATCCAAATAAATTATCTAATTTAATATTTAACAAGTGTTTTATATTTTTCGTATAATTTTTTATGAAATTCAATTTTAATACACCTTAATTATGCAAATTATGTAAAATCGACTGATTTATTCAATCTGCAAATAATTACTACAATTATGAAAATATCGACAACAATAATCAATTATGCAATTTGCAAAAAAATATTCTAAAAAAATTGTGTTAATGTCAGTTTTTATTTAAATATTATTTAATAAACGTTATTTTTTTTTTGTATATTTAATTCCTCAAATCGTGGATAGTTAAGGAATAATTAGACCATAGAAATTTACATTTTTAAGATACCCCAATTACATATATCGTGTAAATTCAGTTGGTTTATTCAATTGTAACTTAATTTTTATAAAAGTGTTCCAAAATATTTGTGTTAATGGCAGTTTATATTTAATTATTTTTAATAACTATTTTTTGGGTCTTTTTTATTTTTATCTATAAAAAACGTGGGTCTCGATTTTGTTTTGTACGCTGGGTAATTAATTTTGTGGTAAAACTGAATATCATTTTTGTATTTTATCGATAAATTATGAAATCGAATTATTTGGTATACTATATATTGATCCAATATACCTGCTGATGGTAAAAATTGTATGTGAATAATTTTTTATTTTTTTTATATTGCTAAGCATTTTACTCGATATTAGTGAGAGAAAAATCTGGAGAATACTATGTTTGTAAATGTACGTGGAACAATATATATATATATATATATATATATATATATAAGGTTTGTATTTACTTGAATCACGTTGCAGTCAAATCGAATTTCTGAATAAAGATTTTAAAATGACACCTATTTCAAAATGAATCTAATGTAATTTATTATTAGTTACTTGCACCGTACGGGTCGTGTACCAATTTTAAATAGACATATTTAATGTAATTTTGGGGCAATTTATATTTCATATAATATTTTAAATAAATTAATATAGGTAAGTTGTATTACATATTGATTTTATATTTTTAATTTATAAATATTATTTAATGAATATTTTTAATTTATAAATATTAAATAATATTTCTTACCCGTGCATAGCACAGGATTTATACTAGTCAGCAGAAAGAAGAAAAAAAAAATAAAACAAAAAACGACTATGTTGTGGGGTATACCAAACATATCACCAAGACCAACAGAGATCAATTATTGAATTGTGCGCTTCTCTTTAAAGACATCTAAATATTCATCATACAAGAACGTTCTCGAATATTCATTATACAAGAAACTAACAATGGAAAGGTAGATTATCAATTTTTTTTCTTAGCTATTTTCTTTTATTAATATTAGACGCAATTTTTATCAGTGAAGTTATTTTTATGCTACTTACAATTTTTATGCTATCTAAAATATCTTATTGGGCTTGATAGGATAAGAAGAGGTTTCACCGATTAAAGGTTATAAAAAATAGCGAAAGAGTACTTGGTGACACTTCTAATGCAAAGTGCAACCTAATGGAATTCTTAGATGATGGACCTAGATTTGCGGTTCAATCTGCCACTGACGTAAAGGGAAGGGCAAAGGTCGACGAGCATGATGATCAAATGAAGAATAATTTCGATACAGATTAGAGCTATTAGGTCATTTTTTATAATAGAATATTACTTGAATTTATTTTTTTAATAAGTAGTTTGATTGAATAATATTGGCAGATGCCAAATACGCTTGCTTTTAATACTTACTAAATTTGGAAATTAGTTTGTTTATAAAATTTAGAAGTTGATGTCTAAGTAATAGAATAGTTTTAACTTATTAACGAATACATATACATATATGCATGTCATATAATTAGAATAAGCAAATACATATTCTATAACTAAACTACATCAAGTTAATAACAAGATAACACAAATATATCTAGTATTTTACAAAAACAATGTACTATATGAATTAACCTAAACTACTAATGTTTAAATAATTTGTATTATCCATTTTAAAAATAAATTTTAATATATCTAAAATTTTATATTTAAAATCATAAAATAAACCTTGCTATAATTACAAGGGTAAGGTCTGCGTACAACTGACCCCCCAAATTCCAACCTGTTGGAAATATACTGGGTATGTTGTTGTTGTATATTTAATACAAATATGTTGCAATTACTTTTAATAAAACTGTACAAATAAACAATCATGTCAATAGATGAAAGGTGTTGAAAACAATAGTTGGTGGAAGCGACAAGTTCCCCAAGAATCTAACTAATAATGTTGTGTACAATAAATTTTCAATAGCATATAATATATTTTTTATCTTGAATCTTTTATAATTAGATAACTGCACTGTATATGATAATTTTTATTGTCGAATAGCCTTTAATTTATAAAATCTCATAAATAAATAATTGCAGAGTTACACAATATTATAGATATGTGCGGAAATTTGATTATCCAGCTGGCCAATTAGCCCCATGGCTGGCATCCACCGATTGGCTGAATTCGGAGTTTTGGAATTCGTGCGTGCGTGAGTGAGTGCGTGTTTAATCCGTGTCTAATGGGCACGAAAAGAAAGGAACCCCCGCCTTGCCTTTATACCAAATTCACATCATTATCATTTCCCTGGGTCTGCTTCAACAGTTTGTACCTTGGTGTACAAACAAACATTTAATTAGTCTTCCTCATTCAATCCGGGATCATACGAGGGCCCACCCTCCAACGGCCATATCTTGCCTGCCTTCAAAAAAAACTTTCTTCCCTATAAACGCCATTTTTACCTGATTCAGGGCAATTGCAATTTGCAAAGCCCCACAACAAACGGCATTTCTCCCCCAATTTTGTGGTTCCATTACTTATTCATCCATACGTAAATGGCGGAGGCTTTCGAGGCGGCGGTGGAGGACGGGCTGCACCTCTCCAAGAGGGTGTACTTCGGCAGGGACCGGGCGGTGGCGCCGCCCAAACCCCCGACGGCTATGGAGAGGGCCGCCGGCCTCTCGTTCCTCCCCAAATCCCCGATGCTCTACGCCGTGATCGTCGACCCGGCCATGGTGGACAACCCGGACATGCCGAGCTACCAGCCGCACGTGCACGGGAGGTGCGACCCCCCGGCCCTAATCCCTCTGCAGATGAACGCGGTCTCGCTCGAGGTGGATTGCTTTCTCGACACCGCCTTTGTCACGCTGAGTGGCACTTGGCGCGTGCACTGCGTCATGGGCAGCCGCAGTTGTGATTGCCGCCTCGCGGTTCCCATGGGTGAGCAGGTAGGTTCAAGTGGGATTTTTTAATGGCTTCTTTCTGGTTTTTTGTTTTCGTTGAGGTAATTTCTGAGATTCTTTAGAGTTTTTTATTTTCCTTTCTGTTTTAATGATTAAAATAGCTCTATTTTGAAGTTGCAATGGCTATGGAAAAGCAGTGTTACTCTAGTGGCTTTTTTAGTTGTCATTTTAATCTTGATTTTAAAAGTAAGTTGCTTTCAAGTGAAGGCAATATGTTCATTCATCTTTCGATCTGTTCTTATTAAACTCATAATTTCTTTTATTTTGTCTTGATTATAAGTAAGTTGCATTCATTTAAAGGCAATCTGTTCATAATTTCTTTTATTTTGTCTTGATTATAAGTAAGTTCCTTACTGTTCCGTGTTAAGCCAATTACATAATGATGGTCAACGTGAATGGACTTGCTTCAGGAGCGTAAGAAACTTTAAGAGGTTACCTATAGAAGGAGAGGCAGTTTTTCATTTTGAATTCGTTTTCACTCAATTATATAGATGGTATTGTCTGCTAACATCCGAGGTGGTCTCGTAGCATGTCAGCATAGTTGGCTTCAATAACATTCACAATGTATATAACAATATGGTCGTGTTATACTCTCATCATATTGTTGTTGTGAATCGTATTATATGCGATCTTTTGCCTCACAAGAGTGATTTGATGATCTTTTGGTTCTCAAGTGGTATACTACTTTGCTAACAGGGTTCAATTCTAGGTGTTGAGGTTGAGTTGCCTAGAAAAACATATAGCACTCAACTAGTTCCCATGGAGGACGAAGAAGGAACAGAAAAGGTCACAAAAATTGAAGATGGAGGATTTTTGAAACCTCATATATACACTCTTAAAATTCCACAGGTAAGCTCCCATTTTCTTTCTTTCAATCTTATCTTCATTGATTTGGTGTATGTGGAGTCGCATAACTTATCTCTGATGAATATCCTAAATATGTTTTCAGATTGATGGCGGAACCAATGTATCAGTTAAACTAAGATGGTCTCAGAAGTTAATGTATCATGATGGAGAATTAACCTTAAATGTTCCATTTAGCTTCCCTGAGTATGTAACTCCAGCTGCAAAGAAGATCTCTAAACGGGAAAAGATACAGTTGAATGTTAATGCTGGTCCTGGGACAGAAGTTCTTTGCAGAACAGCTTCTCATCCTTTAAAGGTACTCGTAATTCAGGTTCCAATGGTCAACGAAGATTAAGCAAGAATGTTTTCTTTACAGTTTTGTTTTTCACTGACAATTTAGGAACGGCAACGACAAGCAGGGAAGCTGGGCTTCTTACATGAATCTGAGGTTCTTTCATGGTCGAACATTGATTTTGTATTCACATACAATGTAAGATTTCATTGGCATACTTTCTATAATCTGATGAAACACTGCTGCACCAAAAAGAAAAGGAGAAAATAGAAAATCATGCGATAAAATCCAATTTAAATTATTGCATATGCGTGTCTGTATGCTGGAAATGCATGCTAAACTTAAGTCTGAAAGACACGTATTTACTTTGCCTATATGGTGTTTTCAGGTATCTTCAAGTCATACTGTTGGCGGTGTACTATTGAATCCTTCAATGGTACATGATGTAGATCATAGAGATGCGTTCTGTTGCTACCTTTTCCCAGGCAAGCAGCAGAATATAAAGGTAAATTGAGCATCCAATATTGTCATGATTGTTACGGAGTTCTGAAACTTGGTTGTGATTAAAACATAATTACCTTTTTTGTTAGATAGTGCAATCTGAGTGCTTAAAATACACATCAATTGCATAATGTTTTCATCTTACTTGGCCAATGACCAGGCATTTTTTATTCGTCATCTGCTTTTGGATTAATATTGGCTCAATCCTCTTCATCTATGCGGATAGATTTTCAGGAAAGAAGTGGTGTTTGTTGTTGATATAAGCAGTAGCATGAAGGGAAAACCACTTGAAGATACCAAAACTGCTTTATTTGCCGCACTTGCCAAGCTTGATACCAAGGATTTGTTTAACGTAATTGCATTCAATGGAGAAACTTACCTATTTTCCTCAACTCTGGAAGAGGCAACTGCAAAAGCTATTGAAAGTGTCACTCAGTGGATCAATGTGAACTTTCTAGCTGGTGGAGACACAAATATTCTACTTCCTCTAAATCAGGTATTTTCTTTTTCTTCTGAAACTTTATATTATGAATCCTTCCACATGTTCTATTATTTTTTCACCATTAAAAAGACGCTGGGAGCTTAGGTTTTGATTTGTTACCTTTCCCCCGGACTACCAACTCTCCTAATCATCAACCCAAACAGTCCTTTTAAGCTTCTCAATGATTTTTTAACCAATACACAGATTTACCAAAATTTTCCCCAAATCACACATCCTGAAGAAAATACCATCATGAACCAAAGAAAGCTTTTTAGGAGTTGTTTTCGGTAATTCCTGGATATCAAACATTTACCTGTTGACTTCAGGTTAACTCGTGTCCCTGAATCAGTGATTCCGAATACTTGTGTACTAATGATCTGGGAGTTGTTTTCAGTAAACATAGATTATATTCCGCGTTGTGATATATTTATGTGTATTATGGATCAAAAAGCATTGCTGTCAATGAAATATGACTGGATAACATGGTTGTAACCTTGTAACCTACATTACTGCATAAAACTCTTGCAAGGGAATGGCTATTTGTATGGTTATATTATGTCTTTAAGTACACAGAAAGCTATTTGTGTACTCAGCATCGGTCTGTATATCAAGAATTGACAGTTTATTTATCTGCATTCCTGGTCATCTGGAAATGTATGCATCTGTGACTATGTGACGATATCGCTTCCCATAGGATTGGATCGATAAGAAACTAGTATTTATTCAGTGAAACAATCAAACAAGACATGTTCTTATATTTCTCCTATATTTCCTTCTCCTACAGCTCAATTGAATTTACTTTATAAGTAGGCATTTTATATGCATCCATCCTCATATGGAAATGTTTGAGGGAAGTTACGGGCAATAGCCAGCTTAATTTTTAGGAAATTATTATACTTGACCCCCTTGTGGCTTTCCTGAACTTGAGCTCAAACAAAGTTTTTCACTAACTGGTTGTTTTAGCATTTGTGAATTGTTTACCCTGTCACTTGTACCCATCGGCTTTGTAAAATAGACATTAACAGTTCAAGCTCATTAGTGCTTCTGATACGAATGGTTTTGAAGCTTCCAATTAATCAATCAATCTTTTTTTTTTTTTTTTTTTCGTTTTATTATATGTAATATAATTATGAACTTTGGATCTCTTCTTTCATATTTTTCTTCCTTTTTTCTTTTGGTTGTAAGGGACGTGGATGCCATTTGGTGGCAACTCTAACCAAACTGCTTTTAACTTTTCAGGCTATTAAAATGTTATCAGATAGTAGCAACTCAATTCCAATTGTTCTCCTCATTACTGATGGGGCTGTGGAAGATGAGAGAAATATTTGTGGTATGGTGAAAAGTCTGTTAACAAGCCAAAAGAATGTCAGTCCAAGAATATACACACTGGGCATTGGTATGTATACTATGTACTTCAAATGTTTCAAATTCGTCAAAGATGAATAATACCGTTAAAGAGGTAGAGAAGCAAATATAAGGCAGTCTACTTAAAATATTATCAATCAAGTAGTTATGCTGGTGAAATAGACTCAAAGTTCATGATTAGGCAAAAAACAGATGCTGTTCAGAACAGTTCAGTCACTGATGTGATTAAGATTAGGTGCCGGGGGAACACAGCTTCAATATCTCGGACAGTCCATTGACTCCTAAATGCCAAATTTTGTTTCTCAGCTGCCACCCTATAGAAAAAAAGTGCCATTTTTAGTTGTCCTGTCAACACACCTGTTAATGTAAGTTCAGCCTCATCAAGTCATCAGCTGTTGAGTCACAAGAAATTGATCAGTTGGGTTTTGTTACCCCAAAATTGGGTTTAAAACAAAGGCACATAATGCATCAAAATGCTATTCTATATCACCTTAGGAAGGAAGGAAGTGAAACCATCCAGAATATTCATGACCTTGACTATCAAAGATGGGGAGCTACTCTTGTAGGTTCCGGTCTTTGATCTTGAGAATCTTATTAAGGACAGCCTTTGGCCTTCCTGCATTTGTTAGTGTTAGATCTATAATTCCAGTGCAGTATTTTGGCAATAAAAAAATTGATTCCTCTTGTTGTCTCATACTTCGTATCTTAGCTGTAGATATTGTCACTGCCTCTAAGTTTGTTAACAGGATTTTTTTGGATACTTAGGTTCTTTCTGCAACCATTATTTTCTGCGGATGCTCGCAACAATTGGTAGGGGGCATCATGATGTTGTTAGTGATGTGGGTAAGTCTTTTTTTATCTTCTTTTGTGTGAACGTATTAAAAGGGAGATTATTGTAACTCTCTTTGTGTGCAAATATTACGAGATGTTAATTCTTGTTATCTTGAAGGAGTAAGTAAGCTGCTTTCATAATAATTTATGAGGCAAGCAAGCTAGCATTGATGAAAACCTATGCTGAGTAAACTGCTGCCATAGCTATTTTTATTTTGAAAACGTAAATTAAAACTGCCAATTATCTTTATAGTTCCCTCAGTGAACTCAAAGTCCCTTTTCTAATTTGTTTTTCTTGACAGATTCTGTTGAGGTTCGAATTGGAGGACTATTTGCCCGGGCATCATCTATATTTCTTTCAAATATCACATTTTATAATCTTGATAATCTTGATGATCTTGAGGTACTTTTAGTTGCATTTATCTCTTTGTTTCATTTTTACTAAACAATAAAGCCATCCCCTTGTCTCTTGCACTCGCGATGCTGTGAGTTTTTTTATAATTGTTGCTCCGGAAAGTGGAACCCTAGGAAACCATCTGATGTGAAGTTCAACTTCTTATGGTATCCTCAATTAGTGTTGTTCTTGTGCTTGCCAAGCTCGACCACCATTTTGACAGTGGTTTAATGTTTCTTTAGGTGTTTCCTTCTCAAGTTCCAGATCTTTCATCTGAAAGCCCGTTAATTGTGTCCGGAAGATACCGCGGTACATTCCCGGAAACCCTTAAGGTCAATGGTGTCCTTGCAGATATGAGCAAATTTACAATAGACCTGAAGATAGAAGAGGCAAAGGAGATACCAGTTGGCAAGGTAATGATTTCTGTTACAAGTGTGGGTGTAGATGTGAGTCTTCTCATATGTAAAACATTATAATTGTCCCAAGTATTCTGTTTATCCTGTGTTGGCACTTGTATTTTTCTTAATCCTAGTATATCATTCTTATATAACAAGGAATTCTGAGTGTCCTTTGCAAGGTTTATAATTTCCATCTCAAATAGATCTTTTAACTATATTTACATCTTTGCTGGTAACATATATGCAATCTCCTGTGTGGTTGCCTCATGATTTCTTCCCCACTTAGAAATTCATTTACACAGTCGGAATAAATCAAAATACTTGAAGGCTGAAATTACTTTTGTTGTCAAGTTTACTTATTACAACGTCCATATGTCTCCATACTTCTCTTTTCTGATTGATCTTGAATTTAGTTTGTGGTGGAATGCTTTATGGAAGGGCGAGGATCCTTAATGCATGATTCAATGCTTATTTTTTCTTCCCTTGACATCAACTTATGACACTTTCTCAGTGATTTTTTGTGATCACAGATAGTGGCCAAGCAACAGATTGAACTTCTTACAGCTGAGGCCTGGTTTTCAGAAAGTGTGGAGCTCTCGGAGAAGGTAATTCCTATATATTTGCTCTTACCACATCAGACATCTTAGGCATGCTGACGAACTTTTAGGATGTAAACTTATGGGAATTCATTCATGTGAGATAAATTGTGTAATTTCAGTTTAAAATAGCAGATGACTAGTTGCATTGCCAATTTAGTAAAACATAAGATTATCCCATATAATTTGTTGCACTACAGCTTAAAGAACTCTTTCATCATTCTAGTGTATCTAAATTTGGGTACGTGTTAGATCTTTTCTTTTCCGGAGTTCCAAACTTGTCCAGGACTTGTTTCATGATAGATGGTTGTGTAATGTCACTCTAGCTTATCAAAGCTTAAATTTTTGTGGAAGCGTTTTTCCTGTCTAAAATTAGTTCGCGTTATTTCATATTCAAAGCTTGACTATCCTTCTATAGTTGATTGATATTATAAATCCAAAATAAAAAAAGTTAGGATGATACGATGAATTGATGTTGTCCATTACAAATGGAGCTGGAAGAGTCATTGTTGACAATTCTCCTGGCATAGTGCTAATAATGGACTAGATCAAAATGGCTCAATTAAATTCTAGTGCTTCTTCTATTAGTTGAAGTTTCTAGAAAAAAAAAAATATATCAAACGGCGCAATGCACCTTGGGTCGCTACGGAAACAGTCTCCTTGTATAATTACAAGGATAAGGTCTGCGTACAACTGACCCCCAGACCTCAGACCCCAACCTGTTGGGAATATACTGGGTATGTTGTTGTTGTTGTTGTTGATACGATGAATTGATGATCTACGTTCCTTTTCCTGGCAGATTGCCAAAATGAGCATTCAGCATGCTATTGTTTCCGAATACACAAACATGGTTTTGCTCGAGACCCAGAGAGGAAAAACAATTGCCAATTCAACTGTTGCAAAGAAGGTTCGGTTCGTGTGTTACCTTCAACCTTCAACATCACTAAATTCACAATGTAAATTTTATCATCTAAAAAACATAAATTTTAAAAGTCCGTAACCCTCATGCCCTACTGCATCTACTGCATTATATATATATATATATATACAAACTCTGCATTCTATCAAGTTTGTAGTATATGCCAGCACTTCATACAACTTCATTTGAATAAATCTTGAGTATCACAACTTATGATATTTTGTACCCTACTATAACNACATATACACAAAAACCGAATCCTCATGGCTCACTCACAGGTTTCCAGCAAAGTTAATGCTCACAAGATGGAGGACCCGAAGCCTCAGAGGGTACTAATCCTGCGCAATTTAGGGCTCGGTTTTGGCAACCTAACTGCAACTCACGACAATATTCCACCCGGATTAGGCGATGTGAAGCAGCTTGATGCGGGCGAGGTTTTTGCACGAGCGGCCTCAAACTGCTGCGGAAGGCTCTGCAATCACTGCTGCTGCATGTGCTGCATCCAGACGTGTTCACGGATAAATGACCAGTGTGCCATTGCCCTTACGCAGTTGTGTGGGGCCCTCGCTTGCCTAGGCTGCTTTGCGTGCTGCGATGGGGAATGATGGGTGGGGCTTACAAGAACATATTGTGACATGATGATATATAAAAGATTTTTTTTTTTAATTTATATATTTTTTACAATGACTTTTGGTTTAGTGTGAAATTTGTGTGTTGTATAGGATATGAATCACTGTTGTGGATGGTTTTCTTTGAAAACAGGAAGATGATATATTTTTAACTCAATCACTTTTTAACTCAACTTTAACTCAATCCCACTATCATCAATATTATCAATATAATTAAATAATATCAATCAATCATTCTTACACACAACATCAACCTTAATTCACTATTCATCAACTCACAAAATTTTAACTAACCATCACATCACATATTCTCTCTCCTACTTTTACATCAATTTAATTTTAATCATTTTATTTTAAATATTATTTTAATATACCCACTAACATCTAACCATACCAACTTTTTCAAATTTAACCAACTCAAACCAAAAATTCAATCAAAACAAAAACTTTTTATACCCAATCAAACGTTTCATACTTTATAGTTCACCAAACTATATGCGCTCAAAAAAATTTAAACATTTTTAACTCAACCACTTTTTTTAACTCAACTTTAACTCAACTCCACTATCACCAATATTATCAGTATAACTAAATAATATCAATCAATCATTATTACACACCATATCAACTTTATTTCACCATTCATCAACTCACATAATTTTAATTAATCATCACTTTACATTTTCTCTCTCCTACTTTTACCTTAAATCAACTTTAATTATTTTATTTCAAGTATTATTTTAATATAAACTCACTAACAACTAATCATACAAATTTTTTCAAAATTAACCAAACCAAAAAATCCAAACAAAATTAAAAAAATTTATATTCAAGCATGAAAATTTGGGCTTTGTTTATTGATGAAAAGAATTATAGGCATGTCAGTCTACGGTAAGTGTTAATTCAGCTAAATAGATTGCTAGTGGTAAATAGTAAGACTAAAATACTTAGGGTGTGATTGTTTATAAATTCTAACTAGTTTTTATTTGGTTTGGTTTTAACTATAATTAATTTTGAAAAAATGTGGTATGGTTAGTTGTTAGTGGATATATTTAATTAATATTTAAATAAAATAATTATAGTTGATTTGATGTAAAGTAGGAGAAAAATGATTGAAAGTGATGGTTAGTTAAAATTATGTGAGTGGATGAATAGTGAATTAAAGTTGATGTGATGTGTAAGAATGATTGGTTGTATTATTTAATTGTATTGATAAAATTGAAGATAGTGGAGTTGAGTTAAATTTGAGTTTTGATTGATTTTTTTTATTGTTGAAACAATATCCAATCGCCCCCTTAATAGGTTTTGTTTACTTAATTCTATGATCTCGAGCAAAATACTTAATAGGTTTTGTTTACTTCCAGATCTGTGAGAAAATTCTTTGCAGCAGCTCGACATATTCATATTGGTACACAGTACATTTCCAGGACAAGTAGAGCAAAGCAATAAAATTTCCAGGACGTAATCATTACAAAATATTCATCGCTTGAGAAAACTCTTGAAAAATCCTTCCACAGAACCTCCCGTACCAGCTCCCACAGCTTCAACCAAATACTTTGCCTGGAAAAAAAATAGTTAGCACGTCTCTACAACTTTAATTGATGACATTTTATTTGGATGCATGGGAACGACTTGTTGGTATATGTGTCACAGAGACAATTTTTTTGAGGACATATACATGATCACATTAATAATAATATTGGATTACAATTATTGTATTGCAATTAATTAAATAATTGTTTGATTGTTTGCAATTTATTAATTAATTGTTCCCTTGAGTTAATACTGTCATTAACAGAATGAAATGTTAATTGATAAAGTGTAACTCTCATATCGCCTCAATCGATGATCATTAAGAAAAGGATATTAATGATACACGATAGATTGACATGTGGTCTGCATCACATTCTTGGAGAATATAGTATGTCTCACTGCTATGAATAATTGTTATTCGTGATGGACACATGGATACTTTGAAGAATATTGGTATACCCTACCGATAAACCATTTGTTTATGTGTCTATAGGAGTATCGGTGTGTGGAATGGTGTAATAGTACTTTGACTTGAGGTCAATACGCAATTCATATATAGAATGATTTACTTAGACCTAGTCCAAAGCTTACGCCCTTATGGGTAGATACGAGCTTGTGTTGGGTTGGTCATGATATAGTTTCGAATTGGTAGTTGAGCCAAGATATGATTCATTCCTCGAATATAGTTTCGAGAGAACACTCGTTTTCTTTATACTGGGTTGATAAACTCATTGGTCAATGCACGTGATTATATTTGAAATGGTGTTCAAATATAATTAATTAATATCAACCAATGAGATGAGATAAAATGATTAAACTGTTTGGATACACACACTCAAGTCCTAAGCTTAATCGAGTGGTTCGTGAATGAAGGGATCGTATCACTATTGAATTCTACATCAAAGGTTTGTTTGCTTGTCCATGTAAACGTACTTCATATTTTGAGTTCGTCCTTCGACGCAGTCTAGATGTTTCGTAAAGATCATAAATTAGATTTATGTCAATATATGAAGGCCTATAGGGTCACACAATATGCAATCAGTTTTTCGACTAAGAGTGAATCGAGTGTGTTAAATATTCGATTAGATTGATATATTTATTTATGAGTAATGAGATTATTTTCTATTTGATAGAAAATATTTAATTAAGTTAAATTAGATTTATACTTAATTAGTAATGAGATAATTTTATATTTGATGAAAAATATTTAATTAAGTTAAATTAGATTTATATTTAATTAAAATATTAATTGGATTAGGTTTAATTACCTATTGGGCTGTAGGGTATCCTAAGGCCCATATAATTAGGTTTTGACCAATTATAAATATCTCATTATCTCTTCATAATAATTAATCGTTGAATCGATAAGAGAGACTTTGAGAGATCTCAAACATCTTAGAGATTGAGAGATCAACAAAAGACAGAACTCTCTCTAGCTTTCCGGATCGAGGATTCCTAGCTTCTTCACCGGAAGGGATTCATTGGCGTTAGATCGTACATCGGCAAACTGGATTGCGTGGATACCATAGTCGATGACAAACGACGAATAACTGTAAGTTTTCGTGTATCATTCACGCGATCTAGGATCATATCGAATAGCTATAGCCGGATCTTCGTTAAAAATTTAAAATTCAACTGCGCGTACGCTGGGTTCGTACATCTAAAATCCAACACGACTAAATGCAAAAATGAAAGATCTTAATTGCTTATCCGCAGCATTAATATTCCACGGTTCCAATGTGGAACATTATACGGATTATTTTTCATTTTATTTTCTCTCTGCGTTTTACTTTTTCCTTCATCTAAAAAATTTATTCACTTGCCCAAGTGAGTCAAGCAAAAATAACAAAAAAGAAGATGCTATGACAAAAAGATTCTGCGTATAATTTACCAACATCTAGATCCTAGTGACCCTAATTTCCCAATCAACCAAGATAATTTACGGGCACTTTGCAACATCTTTAGTACAATGCATATTTCCAAACTAAGTGTTTCCTTCTATTAAATAACTAAATCCTTTTGTATATTACATCATTCTGTGGGAAGGTATTACCCTGTTTCTGTCCCATTTAAGCTTTGATTTAGTCATGTAGACAGCGTTTGTCCATGAACAGCAACGATCCATATGCCAAAAAAGAATTATTCTAATTAGCTGAATTCTATGAAAGGGTGCCCCATTCATGACACAATGCGTCCTATTGCAACCTTTTGCCTGGGACAGGATCGAACATTTCCAATCATTTCCCATGTGTACCCTTTCCCCCATGGGATTCAATTAACCAAAAATCACTAACAGTTAATTCATCTCTGCCTCCATATATGTCGATGAACAAATTCAGACTTGAATACCAAGAAAAAGAATAAATAGCATTTCAAAAAATCACTCAGTAGAGTAACTAGATTAAGAATGTTTTGTTTTGACAAGGTTATCCATAAGATTTAATCCGTTTCTTTTATTTCATGGAAGACAAGAAACCCACCTAGTTTCTGCTTTGTGTGCTGCTTTTGGCCTTTTTTGAGTAATTGAGTAATTTGAGTTAGAAGCTTCTTTATTATTTTACTAAGTTTTGTTTCTTCAAGATCTATTACTCATATAAATCTAGTTAGTCAACCATTCAGATTTTAAAATCAAAACGGACAGATGTACCTATCTTGCCAACTATACACATATACACTCCGAAGAAAGATATTTTATCAAGTATATTCCTTACAGTTGTATCACTCAGGACAACAAAATATGTAACAAAATAATATGAGTTTTACTTGCAGGACAGAGCTTTGCATTTCAAACACTACAGTAACAACTCTGTTCTATATTCTACAAACGCCCATACCACACACATGAACCATGGAGTAATCAGATAACATGTCTTTTAACTATTAGGTTATAATATACTATGACACTATGACGTTGGTTTATATACTTGAGGTGTAAATCCAGATAATTAGCTATTAAACCAGCAAAACAGACAAATAGAAGAATAATGCAAAGACAAAATTCTTCAAAATGACTGAATCACTTGATTCAGAAGGCAGTATAGTTACCTCTTGAACTGTCTTTTTCAAATCAAATGCTTCTTTAACCCGTCCATCCAAGAATGCCCATGTATCCCGAAAGTCTATCAAAAGAGACAACGAACAACCCTTAGTGGGAAAGAAGAAACACTAAACAATGCAAAAATTATCCCAGACCATTGAGTAGAACTAAAGAAAGCTAAGTGGAGAAATATTGTATGCCTGCATTGCATAACTAGATGTCGTGACACTACATTCTGACGTATAGAAAGACTTCTTACGAAGACCAAATAATACATAAATAATATATCTATGAAGCTTTAGATGCCTATTAGACAAGATCACAAAACTAAATCCATGTTAAAAATATATGAACTACAAGAACACGTCGCTATAGTAGAGTTGGAAAGGGAAGAGCAGAAAATGGGAAATTATTCCAGCTAGGAGATAGTCTATTTATTACATTCATCTAGATATCATGCTTAAATGGAGTACTCAAGGGCTACGGAAGGAATTGACCTGTATTTATATACCCTGTCTCTTAGATGGATGCTATAAACTGACATGAGAATATAATGAAACCTGAATGTGATACGCGTACAAAAGAATAGTGAAGTATAGATACTAACCTGGGGTATTATCGGACAGCATGTACAACTCAGCAGTAGAGTATATTCCACCAAGGACTGTGCGCTTCACATACCAATCCATATCAGTGGACTCATCACCAGCAGCATCCCAAATCTCATCAACAAGCATAGCTCTCTGCTTGAAGCTTGTGGCAATATTTGGAGGTTGTGCCTACAGTTCAACATGTTTAAAAGTTTACTTAGCTCGACATAAAGGAAACAGGCTCAATATAAAAGTGAGGAAAACTACCTGTATGCTGAGTGCGTGAGCCCACTTTGATATGTAGGGAGCCTGCATTTCTAATCGGATTCGAACAAGCTTGGCCACACGGTTGCTGGGGAGTAAGTTTTTCAAGTCCTCTCGCGAATCAACTATGTCAATTAACCTTTTCAGACAATCATCCATGAAATACTGAACGAAAAGAAAGGAACATAGTTTGAGTGAAAGAGCACTATAAAGGCCTAGAAAGAGGTGATACATATTAGATACATCATGCTCAGAAAAGGCTTCCTGATACGACAAATAAATGGTGTGCAAGCATCAAGGTAAAAATGCCACTGTTCTAAAAATCGGCCTAGGCGCTAGGCGGTGCTCGGGCACCTCCGATCTGTACAAATCGGCAGAAAAAATCGGCCAGGCGGGCCTAGGCGCTCCTAGGCGGGCTTGGCGGGCCAGCAGCCAGGCTGTTAGGCGACGTCTAGGCGGGCGTAGGCGGACCTAGGCGCTCCTAGGCGGGCTCGGCGACAATTTTTCATTTAGTTATTTTTTATTTTTTAAATACTAATTACATTATTTTGTTCTCATGTTTTCTTTAATATATATTAATATTATTATTTGGACTTTGGTGTGTGAATTTATTATAAGTTGAGATAGTTTTATTTTGTAGGTAGTTAAAATAAATAAAAAATAAAGCATTTAATATTGATTTCTGGCCCCGACTAGGCGCCGCCTAGGCTCCGACTAGGCGCTCTAGGCGCTAGACGCTGGTCGAGCGCCTAGCGACTTTTAGAACACTGAAATATGCATCAAAATCAAGCAGTACAAAAGTCCTATCAGATATTTCATGCACTATTATGTTAGACTATAAGTCTCCTGACATAGTGCTAATAATTGACTAGATCAAAATGGCTCAATTAAATTCTAGTGCTTCTTCTACTAGTGAAGTTTCTAGAAAAAAATATATCAAACGGCGCAATGCACCTTGGGTCGTTACGGAAACAGCCTCCTTGTATAATTACAAGGGTAAGGTCTGCGTACAACTGACTGCGTACAACTGACCCCCAGACCCCAACCTGTTGGGAATATACTGGGGATGTTGTTGTTATTGGTGTATGTTAGACTATTAGTGTATAGAAATTCATAGAATTTCAACAGAAAAGGATATTTCGTTACCAGAAAGCAAAGAACACTTTGAGAGGAACGTTTTAACTGAATGATGCTATCTAAAATCGATCCACCAGAAAGTTAACAATGCACACAAGAGCAAAACTGGACACTGTAATACACGAATGTATGATGGCTCCAAAATCCAAATATAAACCACAACCTTGAAAACTTATTGGCACACATTTTATTCATTTGTTTCCAGAGATAAAGAATTTATTCTAAGGTATAAAATGAATTTCAACTTTTTTAGACCCTAAATGTAGTTTTCTTTTTCAGCCTTGACTGAAATATTATTATGTAACATAACTTAAAGTGCAAACATTCTTGTACCAAGGTCCTTTATTCATTGCTTGGATACCAACAACACTAAAGCAAGCGAAGAAAAAATTATATGGATATACCTCTACCAGAGCAGCCTCTTTCCGAGGAAAAGACCCCACGATAGAAGGAGAGACCATAACATCCCTTGCTCCAGCAATCATGGCTGCATCACTCCATCCTGATGTATTCTGCCCAATGAAATTGAACAAAAACAATACAAGCAGTAAGCCACTTAAATACTAGTCTGGCCACACATATATCAAACTCCCATTCCCAGGACAATATGCAGTCCAACAATAGCTTCTATTGACAATGTAATTACGAAAAAAAAAAAGTCAAAAGAACTTTGAGAAGGCTGCAAATGAAAGTGAGAATAGTTTCCATGTATCTTGAATTCCAAATCAAATTAGGAACCCTAAATCAACCTGGCATTAATTATTGAATGTGTTCATGTACAAACTCACTCGCTCGCGGCTCGACACATTCAAAGTTCACAATTTCCTCCAATTGTAATAATGCTAAGTGATCAATTCAAATATGCAAGAAGAAGCATTAAAAAAAAAAGAATGAAAGAAAGCTAAAATCTAACGTAAAATGCCTGACCACGTGGCGGAGAGAGGCGTGAAGGACGCGCGCCTGCTCTTCCTGCCACTGAGCTTTAGGGCGGTCTTCCAGTCTGGGATTTCCACCTTCATTCGATGATGATTGGTAGGAAAAATCGAAATTATTAGGGTTGGGATGCTGAGTATTTTCGGAGGTAGCAGCCGTGGAGAACGCCGCCCTGTTTATCACTGGGGCTGAGAAAGGAACCGTCGATGCCTGGTTCGGAGGGTGACCAGTTCGCCGGCGTAACGCCGGTAGCAAACGCCTCGCTGCCGATTGGTACATACAGATATTAGATTCAAATTGGATTTTATAAACTGCAAACGGATAAGTTATTTTGATGATCGGCAGCCCCTAAGGGCATGCAGATCCATTTAACACATATATCATTCATTCAATAAAAAAGTAACACTCTCTCATCCACATCATCTTTCCACTAAATCTCTCTCCATTTAAACAGACACCCACATTCATATACACTAGTATGTGGCCCGTGCGATATACGGGTAAATAATATCAGATAATAATTATAAATTGACGATATAGGTATATTATAATATGTATTCGTTTAGAATTTTGTGTGCCACTTTGAGATTTTTTAAGATTTGAGACTTTTAAGATGATCAAATTTTAGCGGAATACTATGAAATCTTAAGTGTGAATGTGAGATCTAGAGCGAAATTTTGTATAATGTTTTTTCTTTTAAATCATAACTAATCTTAAAAAGACCTAACAAATCTTGATCTCATAAATATTTAAGGATATTTTAAAATTTTTTTAATTTTTATATATCTAAGATGAACCGCTTTTGTTACCAAAAAATGTGAACACAATTTTGAATGTACATCCCCTCCAAATATCAGTTTTATTATAAAATAAAAATTGCACGTGGTTTTATCCAATTTACACACTTTTTTTTTCAAAGAAAAAATTATTCAATAAGATTAGAATAATTGGTTAAGAATTATACAACTATTTGTTTCCAAAATTTGTATCCGATTTGTACGGTTTTTAAGTTAATTTGTATTAGAATTGTTTTCATAAATAATTGACACATTTTTTGTATAAGAATCTCCAAATTTGTTACCAAAAAATATATGATTTAAATTTTGGTAAAAAAAATAAAATATGATACAAAAAAAATAGAATTTAAATTTTGCCACAAGAATCTCCAATTTAGTTACAAACAAATAGGATTCAGATTTTGTTACTAAAGATTCACATGTATTTTTTTGAATTTTCCATTAATAGTAAGTCAAACATTATATTTATTTGGTCAAACTTTCTATTAATGTATTTTTCCAACAACCTCTTTATATATACTAGTACAGTCCCGTGCGATGCACGGGGATTTATTATCTTCGTCCCTTTTATAAAGCAATGTTCAGTTAAAATTCAAAGTACTTACTAAAGGAAAAATCATGCCATTAATAATAAATAAATTAATAAATACAATGATATTAAAATCTATATATTATTGAACACTTCCTTATATACAACGTTCATGGTTTGATTCTTTGACACGTCATCGTCGCTGCAAATTAGGACTTTCAAACTCATTTCTGTTTGTGACACGGGAGACAGCAACATACAATTGACCATGACTAAACACTGGTTTCTTAAGAAAGAAGCCCACATGCGATAATGATTGTTCCTGACTCTTGTTTATAGTCATGTTGTAAGAAAACATAATGGGAAACAATTAATCCAATAACATCTACAAAAATATAAGAAAATGCATCATATTGAAATGTATAACATATAAAATAGTTTATTACAGATTTAAATTAAAAAAATCGAAATAAGAAATAAACAAAAAAATTATAACGTACCAAACAACATGACTTCATCAATGTTACGAACATCCATTAAAGTTAGAAATAGAGAAATCACCCCTCCATTTGATAAATCACCTCTCCATTTGATAAATCACCCCTCCATTTGATAATCTTGGTTTGACCATTGATAATGATCCTCCTTTTACCTATCGTCGATTTATGGATGCCAGTATTGCTATTCACTTGATAGTTTGTCAAGATATAAGCGCCACCTTCTTCGATATCACCGATGATTTTTTGGATATTGACAGGTCGAATTATGCCAATAATTCATCCTCCCTAAAACATTGCATAATGAATACTTCAATAAATAAATTATAAAAGATGTTGCATAAAATGATGTATTTAAATAATACTAAATGAATATATTACCTCAAAATCATAAAAGATAATCTCAAGAACATTTCGGTAATTGTGTACGTCTTCAACTCGTTGGAACATCCTAATTATGCGTAGCTTGATTGGTGGCTTATTGGATCTTTTGATATCCTTGATTACTCCAAAATCCGAAGCCATTTTCAATGGTGATGTAAAAGCTTGTAGAAAAAATTGTTTTGTGGGATATATTGGATGTCGAATACTTTTTGTTCAACGTTGGTGGTGTTTATATAGTCATGTGTATGTGCCATATGTCTAGGAAATAAAAAAATATTTACGTAAGGTATTTAATATGATCCGATCCGATTTTTTTTTATTATGATTATGATTGACTTCTAAAAATATGTGTTATCGGTTTTGTTAAAAAAAAAAAAAAAAAATGTGGAACGTGATTCACTTGTGAGGGACGAACGAATATTTAGAAGATTATGTAGCCAAAAATAATGGAGTTTGTTACAATGAAATTTGGTAAGACTTTTTGGATAGATTGAAAAATAATATTTTTATTTTGATCTATTTATTTGGACAAATCCAAAACTTTAATTTACAAAATTATAATCTTTAATTTTTTGAAACGTGTAAAATTTTCTAAGATAACTTCTATAAAACAAAATGTGATCAAATCATAATTGATTTTTATGCCTCAATATTCCAAATCAAACCTTACAAATATGGTATGATTATTTACTATTAATATTTTATTTTTTCAAACGTCTGATTCTCTTAGGTTTATATGAAACAAAGTTCAATCAAATCAAAATTGATTTTTATGCACACACTAAAACTTTATCAATATGATATGTTTATTTTATTTATTTATTTTTTTTCAAATCCACGACTCAAATTTTCGAGAGAGAGAAAAAAAAGGAAACAAAATCTTATCAAACCTTATCAAATTTTTGAGAGAGGAAAAAAAACAAAAAAAATTGGAAACAAAATCTTATCAAACCTTATCAATAATGAAGATTCGTGTTTCCACGAAAAGCTAACAAAATCCCGTGGTTACCAAAATCCTATCAAATTAGTTAAGAAAATCTCATTAAATTGGTTAACAATATTGGAACGCATTTTGTTAGGAAAGATTTACGTAATTTATCTATCTAATTAATATCATATTAACGTGTGGGCCCAGTGATATTAATTTAGTATAGCATCCATTATCTCAGAATAATTATTTGTTTGATTTACAACATTAATTTGAATGTAAAAAAATCCGTAATTGTTGAGATATCTCAATTCAAAATCTCAATTTTTTAGCATAAGAATTTTCAAATTTGTTACCAATAAAAATAGATTCCTATGGAATTAATATTTAAATGTATTAAATTTTGGTATAAGAATCTCCAAATTTGTTACCATAAGAATCTTCAATTTGTTACCATAAGAAACCCATAAAAATCTCCTATGGATTGGAGTTTATCCATATTTAGTATAGCATCCATTATTCTCGAAATAATTTTTTGTTTGATTTACATCATGAATTTGAAGGGAAAAAAATCCGAAATTGTTAGGATATCTCAATTCAAAATCTCAATTTTTTGGCATAAGAATCTCAATTTGTTACCATAAGAATCCCATAGAAATCTCCTATGGGATTGGAGTTTATTAATAGTTGGTATAACATCCATTATTTTTGGAATAAATTTTTGTTTGATTTACAACATTAATTTGAATAGGAAAAAAATCCGTAATTGTTGGAATATCTAAATTCAAAATCTCAATTTTTTGGCATAACAATCTTTAAATTTGTTACCAATAAAAGTAGATTCCTATGAATTAATATTTAAAATGAATTAGATTTTGGTATAGGAATTTCCAAATTTGTTACCATAAAAATCTCCAATTTTTTTGGGATATCTCAATTAAATTTGTTACCATTAAAATCTCTAAATTTGTTACCATAAAAATCTCAATTTTTTTGGTAAATGTGTTTTTTTCGAAATTTCCATTAATAGTAAGTCAAACTATTTATTTTTTTAGTCAAACTCACTATAAAAATATTTTTCCAACAACCTCTTTATATTACTATAGATATAGATTCATTTAAATACAAATATGGGACCCATTATCCACTCATTCAATATAAACTTTTATATTCAATTCTCAATAAAAATAAAATTTAATATTTTTAAATTATAATAATAAATTTTAAATGCATGAAAATGAAAGAACACTACAAGACCAAAATAACTTAATTAAGATTACACAAGAAAAAATAGTAAAATTACAAAAAATATTTTTTTTAATTATTGACAAAATGAGTCCAAAACATTCCAGTGAAAGAAAAAGAAAACAAAATGAACGCAAGAAAAAGAAAACAAAATGAACGCCCCACTCAAAATATTCCAGTAAAAGATTCCAGAAAAAGAATAATAAAATAGTTAAATAATTTCATTTAAAACAGAAAAAAAAAAAAAAAAAAAAAAAAAAAAAAAAAAAAATGTAAAGAGTGCAAGCGTTCAGCCCTTTGAACGGTACATGGGGCCCCACTCAAATAATGAACACCTACATTCCAGTGAACGCCAATTGGGCGTTTAAACGTGGGGTTTTAACGGGGCGTTGCGGGTGCCCTAATAATTGTTTCTTAATTCTCATGGCCAAGGGTGTGTTTGGTTGCATTAAGCCAATAAAGGAATAAGCTTGATTATTTGCCTTTTTTATTAGTTGGGTTGCCATTTTGGGATTAAGCTTGATATAATCCACACGAGTAGTTCCATGAATAAAATGGTACTAGTACAGATCCCGTGCGATGCACGGGGTGCACAAAATTAAAACTATTTATCAAGTCTTATAATTATATAAATGAATAAAAAAATGTACGGGATATATATAGTACGTGACCTGTAATAGGCCAAAATGTGAACACGGGTGATGCACGGGGTGCACAATTTTAAGGTCATTTATTAGTACAGAGTCCGTGCGATGCACGGGGTGCACAATTTTCTAGTATGTGTAATACAAATACATACCGTATGCACGGGACAGAAGCACTAAATGAGTTATTTTCACATAGCTTGCTCGTTAAGTAGCTCCTGAACACGGGTGCACAATTTGTAGTACGTACTATAAAATCAGAACAGATTTCCATACATTTAGATAATAAATAAAGCCTTTTTTATGTTAGTAAAGATTTTACGTACTTATTTTTACTTATCGGATGTTATGAGATTTTTTGTTAAACCGATTTTATGGGATATGATACAAATACAATTAGAGGATTGAGTAAAATCAGAACAGATTTCTATACAATTAGATAATAAGAAGCAATTACATAAGGAAAAGAAGAAATTAGATAAATAATTTTGAATCTACCTTTTTTTAGTATAAATAGACTTTACGTACAAATTTTGACTTCACCGATTTTATGAGATTTGTTTTGACAAAATCAAAGATGAATACTAAAGACTGTTTTTATTAACATTTACAATGTGTATTTAATGTTTTTTTTTTTTGGCAAAATATTCTTTTTAAGTGTGATATATAAATATTAAAAATACTTAAAATATTTTATAATATCTATAAAAGCATCTAAAATATTCTATATTATTCACAAATAATGTTTGAAACTACCTAATAATGTTCAGAGGGCTTCATTAATTTAAAAGTATAAAATAAATAAATAAATAAATGTACAACTGAAAAAGTTACAACCAATTGTATGGAGAATTAAAGTAAATCTAATTTTGTAGGATACACTAAATATTGATTAAATTTTATATGTAAAATAAAATAAAAAAATAACTGGAATAGTTTTACGTGTTGCAATATTTTATATTTAAAAAAATTAAAAAATCTTCTTTTACGTATTGCATACCAACATTTTAGGAACTACATGAATATTCCTAAATTAATAATGCAAATTCAATATTTTAGGAATTAATTAAATGCTAATTTGATTTGCATACCAAAAATATTGGATGCATTAATTAAATGATTGATAAAAATAGCAAATCATTAATTAAGGTTGACTATTCTACATACTACATTTAGTAAATAGTACCCCCTTTAATATAAGTATAGATTTTATCTCCTTATTATCATGTTTGCATTCATATTTTGGCCAATCGGTAAAAATTTATATTTGTTATTAATTTGTTTGATTGCCCAAACTTCATTATTTGCAATTGGGTTTTCCAATTTCAATCTTTAAATACCTACTAGTACGTACCCCGTGCGATGCACGAGATATAGATATTAAATAAGTTATTTTTACACTATTGTCCGTTTAAGTCTAAAAAATAATAGGGTTATTATCTATTTTCTACCTCTTTTAATCAACGTTAAGTCTAAAAAACAATAGAGTTATTATAAGTTTTTTTCTACAACTTTTAACCAGCGTTATTTTTTAGTCAGAACATTAAATATGGGCATGTTAGGGTTAACTTGTAAAATAATTAATTTATTATATCACTACAACATTTATACTAATAAAAATTTAATTTTAGCATATAAATTTATCCCTTGATATAAGAGAAAGTAACAGTTTTACTTATTGTTGTTCACTATATAACATTTAATTATTATTTTATTATATAATAAAAGGAATACTGTTAAATAGTGTAGTAGAATTGTTATAAAATTATATGAATTATTTATTTACAATATAGATTTATTACCTTTTTATGATTTGATAATATAACTATAATATATTCTTAATGATACAATCTGAAATCGGATTACAGAATTTCAATACATAAATAATAAAATTTTTGGTAAAAAGATAAGAAGGAAATTTCAATTTCAATCTACAAAAAGTTTAAAACGATTTTATGGTATTTCATTGACTAAATGGATTGTATGGAATAAAACAAATAGCAGATAAGAAGAAAATTTCAAATATACAAAAAATTAAAGCCGATTTTGTGGGATTTTTTCGCAGAAAATCCGAATAGTAATAGCATTAATTGAATAGTAATAACATTAATTGCAGTTGACTTTTCTGAATACTATTTATAGTAAATAAAATCCCTTTTTATATAAGTATAAATTATGCCATGGTAAAAAAAATGAAAATAAAGACACGAGAGAATGATTTGGGCGTTTAGGTTTGTGAAGGTTACAAGGCGACTTGATTTTTGTTGGTGAATTTCTAAAATTGTTTGTCGACAAAATGATTGCGTCACGTAACCTTCAACTTTATTTCCCGCTCTATCTTTTCCTGTGAGTCTCTCTATCTTCTATCTTTCCCTGTGAGTCTCTATTAATCGAAAGTTAGATTTCTTAGTGAATTTTTGATAATTATCAATATAATTAAATAATATCAATCAATCATTTTTACACGTTACATCATCTTTAATTTATCTATCATTTACCTACATAATTTTAACTAACAATCACTTCACATAATATTTTTATTATTTTTACCTCAAATTAACTTAAATTATTTTATATTAAATTTATCAGCTTTAATTTACTATTAATCTACCCATATAATTTTAACTAATCAATCACTTCACATCATCTCTTTATTTTAACAAACCATCACTTCACATAATCTATTTCTTATTTTTATATCAAATCAATTTTAATTATATAATTTAAATTATTATTGTAATATAAACTTAAAATCGCACTAATAACTAACCAATATTCTTCAAAATTAATATTTAGTTAACCAAAAAAAACCCGAGCTCCAAGCATTAGAGCATCTCCAATGCAACTTTTGACATTATAAAAAGTCATCCATATCATCAACTTTTAAAAGTGTGTCTCTATTTTTTTTCTCCAATGCATCTTGTCATGAACTCTTTCATTATGAGGTGAATGTCATTTAATGTTGACAATGTTGAGCACACTTTATCTAACACCATGTTAAACATGATGACTCATCAATTTACTTTATATTTGTTTTAATTTTTTATTTTTTTTGTATCAATGAATTATTTAATTGGTCCACCTATACAAATAACTTTTTATCAAATTGATGCATTGGAGATACTAGTTTCATTAAAATTTTTAGTCTTTTAACATTACTAGTACAGAGCCCGTGCGATGCACGGGGTGCACAATTTTAAGGCTATTTATCCAGACTTATAATTATATACATGTATACAGAAAGATGTACGGGATATATATAGTACGTGACCCGTGCGAGGGACGGGATATATTTAGTTAAGGAATACTATATTATAAGGCGCAATATTCAATAAAAGTTTAATAATACGCAGAAAAATTGTACAATAAGATAGTATTCGACAAACAAACAATATATATTATTAAAGACCTCCTTGTACACAACATTATGAGTTTGATTTTCCATACAATAATAATACGATTTTTTGTAAAAAGATAAGAAAGAATTTTTAATCTACACAAACTTTAAACATTAGATGTATTTACGTAAATCAATGACTGTATAGACAACTAAACCCTTCAATTTAGGCTTGACATCTACTTTATTTATGGGTGACGTAAAATACGAATTTAATTTTGACCGATTAAATCTTTATTCATAGGCTTGGCATATAAAACTGATTTGATGGGATTTTCTTAACTAAACCGATGCTATGGGATAAAACAAATCTATACTTACCTTTGACTTTTCCAGCAAAGGTAAAAAAATCGATTCTGATTTTTATCCCATAACAAATCTTTAATGTCAAGCCTATAAATACCAAAACAAATCTGTAATTAATATCATTCTATTTCCAGCAAGCATTAATTACCTTGACTTTTCTGCCTACTATTTCTAATAAATAGGATGACTTTTTATATAAGTATAGATTTCATATAATGCAAAGACTGAGATCATAAAAAAGAATCCTAAAAACTGAAACAATATATTTGCATAATTTAAAGCCATTAAGAAATCGATCTCTAAATCAGATTTGATTCTCATAATATGTTTTTTTTATTTCGAATTCCATACAAAATGGAATTCTTTACAACCAATAGATGTCATAGCAAATATTAACTCTTAATTATTAGACTATTAGTACATATCGAGCAAATTGTGTACTGATTTTAGAAAGTTAAAATGACTCATGTTAGGTAATTTTACATTTTATGCATGTTGAACGGTGGGTTTTAAATATTGTTTCATAGAATGTAAAAGTGTATTATATTATTTTTATGAGATGTTGAATTTGAAAATTAATAGAATTCTTCTTCATAGGAATTTTAAATGTAACAATATTCTTTGGTATACACTACTAATAAAATCTATATTTAAAGTTTATATTTTTTTTTTACCGGAAAAAATTCCTTAATTTAAGGAATCATATATTTTCAATCAGTCCACATCTATATACATTCTTCACAATTTTAAATCTTGAATTTGATGAGAATTCGTATCTATGAGTGCAAAATATGGTTTAACAAATTAATTTTTTATTATTATTCCAGCCATACTTCTTTATACGATTTTTTGTGAAAATACAAAAGTAAATTCTTAATTTTAAATCAGCCGTACATTAAAGAGTACAAATTTGTTGAAATTACAAAAGTAGTTTTTTACTTTTAAACAGACGTAAATTTAAATCAGTCATAAAAAAGTAATATTTGTTTACCATTTAAATATTAAATCAACCGTAATTAATGTTGTTTGTTTTAGTTGCCACGATTTTCTCCAAACTAAATTAACAACTGTCATGATTTAAGGGCAACATTTAATGCTAATCTATTTTTAGGAGACATTAAATGTAATTGGCGAAAAAAGCTTGCTAAAAATGTTAAATGGTTAATCTTTTAATATAATGATAGATTCCAACGTGGATTAACATTACAATCACTAATTGACACGTGTTAAAAATAATGGTCTTTCACACTTATAGCATTGGAGATGGAGATGCTCTTAGAGATGATTTGAACATGAAATGTGGCGCATTGGATGCCCCCCAAACCCAATTGACTGCCACCGATTTGGACGTTATCCACACACCATGTGAATAGTAAAGGTTCAAAGGGATTCTGAATAAACAATTCCATGGCGTCTTCTTCGTGCTCTTTTGCGGTCCCCACATTCTCCTGCGACAGTAGAAGCTCCACTCGCGTTTTACCTCATCGTCACTTCACGCGCCTCATAGCGCCACAGGCGGAAGGTGGGAGATCCGCCGCGTTGCGTTGGAAGCGGAAGGTCAAGAGGAATGGCAGCTTCGTCGTTTTCAGCAAAAGTCGGCAAGAAAACGCGTTGCAGTACAAGAAACTCGGTGACTCCGACCTCGTCATTAGTGAAATCACTCTTGGCACTGTAAGCGTTATTAGTTTTAATTCGGTTTCAGCTACAGGGTTGTTTTAACCTGCGTTTCAAGCGATTTTCATTGTTGAAATAAAACGCTTCTCTCAAGTACTTTTAACGGCCAAGTGTTTGTTAAGTTTCTCTCTGAATTTGGTATGGGTTTGGTGTTCTCAGCGCAACATTGGTTGGGATTTTGTGTTTAGACTGAAATTGGCGAGGAAAGCGCATTTTCTTGAATTGTAAAATCACTATATGATAAAATCATATGAAATTGCATTAGGATGAAGCATTTCTGCACTAATGTCTCCGAGCATTTGCTTGTGAATTGTATATCTAATAACAACATAGAGTATTGTGAAAGCATAAAGACATCCTGGCGCATATGCAAAGGAGAAAGCTTTGCAAACTTGAAATTTCATTTTGGTTACGTTTGTTTTGAGGGATTTAAAATCCCTTGACTTCAAAATTTTTGAAATATAATTTTTTTACTTGCACACTCCAACTTGGAGTGGATGTGTTGAAACTTGAAAATATTATAAATCAATTATCTAGCTTGCACCGATGGTGTCTCGCAGTAGTGATGAACCTAAATGATCGCGGACGGCGTGGTCGTCAATGGTGATAAACAGTGGATTCCAAATGACTAGGTTTGAGGAGTAATTTAAAATATTTCAAAATAATGACTAAAAAATATCTAGCATGAATTTGAAATCCTCCAACTTTCATTACCATCCCAACATGCATGGAGATCTGTACTTGTAAATTTAAAAATTATAGATTTCAAACCTCAATAAATCCTTCAATCCAAACGTAGCCTTTGGAGATTTTCCGATGAATTGTATAACTAGAGAAGGTTTTGTTTACAGGATATGAGATTGGGTCTTATGAAATGGACTGTGCCAGAGGTCAAATTATATATTTAGTGATGAAACTATTTCTATGCATGACATTTGGGGAGCAGAACACAGAGAAAGAAGCCCATGAGCAACTTAGTTACTCTTTTGAGCGTGGAATTAATGCTTTAGACACTGCAGAAGTGGTAAGGCTCCCTAACCATCAAGCATTGATGTTTGAAATTAATCAATCTGAAGTTTGGATGGAAATAGTTGATGTAAATACAAAATAATTAAAAATAAAAATGGAGTTTTGGATGTGGAGATCTAGTTATGATTCCCATTCATGTATGGGAGAGTACATAGTATTTTAAATATTTTTACTTTTTTGTGGTGACTAAGACTATGTTTGTTAAACTTTGCCGATAAGTTATCCTATAGCTTTTAAGTGAATTTCGAGCTTATAGATGATAATTTATGACTTATGGCTGAAAAACTAGCTTATATGATAAAAGTGTTTGTTAATATTAGCTGATAGGCTAGTTGAAATAGAAAAACTCAATGGACTTATTTGAAAAGTTACCCAAGGAAGCTTATGAGTTAACCTCGAGCTTTTTAAAAAGCTCATCCTACGAAACCAAATTTATTTGAATACATGGAGTTTATAAGTTAATCAAATAAGCTATAAGCTAGCTTATATGCTTACCGAAGACAGCCTTAGGCTATTGCACATTTGCACTATATATAGCACATGGCTTTATAAGTCAGTCAAACGCTTTTACCAATTAATAACCTGGTTTAAACGCTCCTTGTGACAATATAATTGTGGTCAAATTACATGAATATTGCTATCTTTGGTTGCATAGAATGATCTTAGAATTGGATTTTATTATAAGTCAGTCATAATTTCTTGGAAGTGTGTATTCTGTCACGGCATTTTCTTGATTTAAATGCAATATTTTTGCTCGGAGGGCTTATTCATAATTCGAACTCAATCTATGACGTCATTTATGCAATATTTTTGCTTGGAGGGCTTATTCATAATTCGAACTCAAACTATGACATCATTTGGCACAATTTTCATTGGGTGCTAGGCAACTCAAATATGGTGTAGACGTTCCTCCTTTTCTCGAAGAATTTAATTTTGCTTTCTGTGCATTTAGATTGGCAGTTGAAATTAAGGAATTTGGTGGCCATTTCAGGTCACCATGTGTACTAAGGGTGTGATTGGATATAAGTTATTTTGGATTGGATTGAATTTATTGGGTAAAGTGAGTTAATTGTGAAAGAAGTTGATTGAGTTTGGTTTGATTTGACAGGGATTTTTAGTTTGTATTTAACTAATATTTAAATACAATGGTTAAAGTTGATATGATGTAAAAGTAGGAGAGAGGTGATTGGAAGTGACCAGTTGTTAAAATTGTGTGAGTGGATGAATAATGAATTAAAGTTTGTAGGATGTGTATGATGATTCATTGATTGTACTTAATTATATTGATAATATTGAAGAGTGTTGGGGTTAAATTTGAGTTGGATTTTGAGATGAAAAATTATGTGGTCAGTCATATTCGAATATTTTATATCGAATCAGGCTCTAAGATTTTATATATATATATATATAGAGAGAGAGAGAGATAGGATCATATGAGAATGGTAGATAGTGAAAGAAATAAGAATAAATATGGATTATTGGATCAATCAAGTTAATGATCTATTAGTCCTCAGTTGTTCACATGTGAATGTGGATGTTGAGAGTTCACATTGAGCTATAGGCATACATATATTTCAAGGTATTTGCCTTGTTTGGCATTTAGTGGATAACTGATAGTTGATAGCCATTTGGATTAGCTAATGCAGGTAATTGATTCAACTAACTGATTATGCAGAGTGTTTAGTAAATAGTTAGTTGTTTGATATGTAACTACTGCAAACCTCTATTCCAAGGAGCTCTTTTAGTGAGTTTTTTCAAAAGAGAGATGCTATAGGTACATAATATTGTACATAGGGGTGTACATCACTCACGTTGAGTGGGACCTACAAAAAATAAACAATTAAGTGGACCCCACACCATGTGAGTGTTATGTACACTTCTATGTACATTTATTATGTACTTGTAGCATTTTCCTTTTCAAAATTAGCTTTTTGGACCAAAGAATCTATTAACAAATAGTAATAGTAGACGTTATGGCTTGTCAAAACCGTTTTCACTTTCAAACCTTTAATTTAGCCCCAAAATGCTGATTACCAAACATGGCCATTACATTTTGTTCTTGGGGTGACTTTCCATATATCCTTTTGTAAGTGCAATATTTTGTAACAAAATTTCCGTATATGATTCTAGTTCTTGTTGCTTGAGTTAAAGGCTCTATTAGAGTAATAGGTTTTCGATTTTCTGTTAGCAATCAATATTAGGTGAATTCAGATAGAATTAATCTTTCTTTTGAATGCTTGGTACTAGGTTACCGTCCTATTTGTGTTTGGTTGCTTTGATTGGTTCATGATGAGATTCCTCGTTTTCTACTTTTTTCTCTCTTGAAGTATCCTATCCCATTAAAAAAGGAGACACAAGGACGGACTGACCTTTATATTGGAAGGTGGCTGAAGTCTCAATCCCGTGATAAGGTAACTAGACATTATTTAATTACCTACTTCTGACTTTATATTTTCTGTTAAATACCTGGATAAAGTTTGTGTATAATTCTTGTCATCCGCTTCTGTTTTGTAGTTTGCAGTGTTATACAAGTTCGTGTTGTTTGATGACCTAAGTTTCATTTGTAGATTGTATGATCAACTGTATATCTTATCTGTAATGCATTGACCTGCATCTGATATATCTGTTAAGTGTTAAGTTGGAGAATATATCTGTTAAGTGTTAAGTTGGAGAATCTTTCATAAACCTCATAGTTTTGCTAATCATTATGTAATTGAAGAATTCCGCAGTTCTCGAATGTTGCACTCTCTGAAATGATATGGGATTGACTATCTCTGCGGTCTTTTGTTAGTAAATGGTTCTAGCATAATCACATCACAGATTAATACATGCAAGAATATTACATACGAGATGAATACATGCAACTTAGGACGTTTATATGGAACTTAAGGATTATATGTCGGTACTTGTTTTCCCAAATGGAATTTTCCTTCATTTTAGATTTTTCACCTAGTAAAATTTGAGTTTCATGCCATTATTATGGGTGTAAATCAGCAGATAAGGCTGATTGGATAGCCCACTAGGCTTATAAACTAGGCCCATTACCCTATATAATAAATGTGAGACGACTCACAAGTGATATTCCAACAGTTCAAAGCTTGATAAACATTCTTGAGCTAACTTGTAATGTATCTAATATTCCAATCCCGAGCTTGTCTACAAGATGCTTGAGCTCCAAATGTTTTGATTATTTTTCTTGAATAATAACAGAGATTTTGTGGGTGTACAACTGCTAAAAGCTGCATAATGTTGCTAGTTGTCATATAATACCTCTATTTTCAATTATTAGGTTATTTTGGCCACAAAAGTGGCTGGCTACACAGAGAGATCAACTTATATACGTGACAATGCAAAAGTTGTGAGGGTCGATGCAGCTAATATCAGGGAAAGTGTTGAGAAAAGTCTTAAACGGCTTAATACAGATTACATTGACTTACTCCAAATACACTGGTAAACTATTTAGGTCTTTTTCAATACTTGTTCTTCATGTGGCTAAGTGATCTACCGCTGGAATTGGTCATTTGATTGATTGGAGCATATTTTGATCAATTATATTATATTTATTTGTTATGAATTAGTAATATGAATGTTGATGTTAGACTATTAAATTGATAAGATTGATGGAAATTGTCATAGTGAATCAATGATTTGTTTCCTCACGTTCTTTTATGTGTAATATAAAAAAGTCTCCTAGTGTAGATAAGATACTTATAAAAAGTTTTTGAAATAAAAAGCAATCATTTAGTGACATTTCATATGAAAATGATAGCTGGAGTAGTAGTTGATGATTAAATTTCTAAGATCTTGAGAATGTTAGAAAAATTTAGCTTACCAGTGAATAGATTAAAAGATAAACTGACTTATTTTAATTTTGCGATTTCCTTTTCCTCATCTGGGCCTGTTCGTGACGTATTTTTAGTGTTCATAATTTCATATCTCAACTTGTTGAGTCCTACAAACTTTTCCTCTTGATGGAAGTTCCTTACTTCTATTGATAACTGAAAGAAAAATTAACATAACATTGAATGATTATTTTTCTTATTTATGTTGAACAAAAATGACAAGACTGACTCAACAATGTCTATCTTTACATTTCTTCATAAAATTTCTGCATAATAAATATCAGGCCAGATCGTTATGTTCCGCTCTTTGGAGAATATTTTTATACTACTTCAAATTGGAGGTCAAGCGTGCCCGTGGCTGAGCAGCTGAGGGGCTTTCAAGAACTGATTGATCAAGGGAAGGTATATATTCGTCCTTGTTTTGGAAATGATTTGCAGCATTTGCTTTTCCATTAGTATCAGTTGCAGCTCACAAACTCAAGTTAAAAGAACACTGTTTATGTTGAAAAAGGATTTCAGAATTTAGCTTATAAAGATAATTATGAGGCAGACTTGTTAGTTATCCTGCCAAGTGGTGCCTAGAAGTTCATTTTGAAATTCTTTGGTAATTATTCTGACTCCGGCTATAGATATCAATGACATACTGTTAGCTTGTTTTCATATCGGGAGGTACATGGATTCCAGATCTGGTAAAGTTGCCTGAGTAAATTTAGCTTCAAATTGTAACTTGTTAGTAGAATCAGCATTTTCAGGATACAGGGTACTGTGCACCAAATGCTAATCTTATTGATTTCCATTTCAAAGAGAAAGATGAACATATCTTGTTTGACCCAGCTTATTTCTCTCAGACAACTGAAAACAAAATGCGACAAGTTATTTTAATACGACACTTCCATCATTTATTTGCAGCCAACTATTATGGTAAGCCTATTATTACTACAAGTTTGATGATGATGATCCAAGTTATACAGGTGAGGTACATTGGTGTTTCCAATGAAACATCCTATGGGGTAATGGAGTTCGTACATGCAGCTAAAGTGGAAGGGTTACCAAAAATAGTCAGTATCCAGAACAACTACAGTATGCTAGTTAGGTGCAAGTTTGAACGTAAGTCATGTTCCTACCGACAAGGATTATAATTCTTATTTTTTAGCACTCTGTCGAAGTTTGCATTAACAAAAGCAAAGATTTTTCATTACTAGCAGGAAGAAACTCAACTTTTAACCCGATTACTTTTGCATCTTTTATATAAGTCCGACAAACTTAAATAAACCCGAAGATAATTCAAAGCTTTACTACAAGGTGAAGAAATTATGATTAGATGCTAGGTTTAGGTGTTAGTAATATAAATAATAATCTTCATTTTCACTTATTTTTTAATCCAAGTGTTACCACTCTATCCATAACATGAATTTGAGCTCAAATTGAACAAAGATTGAATAATTGGAAAATCCCCCTTTATAATAATACAAAGAGTGCTGAGCCTAAATTGAAGACTCGCACGCTTTAAATGCTGACATAGCAAAAGTTTATGTTTCGTAATTTGGTTTGTATATACATTATTGCTTTGAAAGCAGGTTTGATACTTGACATAAATTTTTTTTTGCAAATTTGGTAAGTATGCATTTATTTTTTCCTTGTTTCCTAATAAATGGTTTTCCCAAATAAAATTTTATCTAACAAAATTAATATTATTTATTCTCATTTATTTTATTTATTAAATACCATAAATTTATTTTTTTATTATATTTTACAAGTTAATAACTTTTCTTTTGTTTTTCGTTTTTTGAATATAATATATCGAATTAATATCTTTTGATGATCTCCAATTTGATATCTATATCACGTATACAAATTTAATATCAATTTCATCCATCATTATAAAAAAAATTAAATCTATTTGTCAAATCAAATTATAACAAATGCAAATGGAACTATATATTAACTTATAAAATAAAAACTATTCAGATAAATATAATATAAAATATATATATATATATATATATATATTTTCTATCGTTTGAAAAAAAATATGCATAGATTAAGTATAAATATAGAATAAATATAATAAATTTCTTCACTTAAATAAAGTATTTATTATGTTGAAAATTAAATATATAAGTAATATCTTATTTTATTGTGTTACTATTTTAATTTTTTATCTAATATTTAAAAGTATATCTATAATTAAACCCTACAGCTCATACTTATTAAAATGTTACCCAACTGATATGCAACATTAATAGTGATTTTGTTATGAAATTATTCAGTTGTAAATTGAATCACGTACATAAATATATAGGGTTTCTTGATTCCAAGTATTACTATGATGTTATATATTCTATATTCTCTAACGAAATTAGGATATCCGTGTAAATTAGTATTGTTTAAATTATAGAACATTTAAGTTGGAGTTTTATGATGCCAAAGTTTGTGTGTCAATAATCTATTATCCGAGTATATTGGAATATTCATGTTAAGATCTTTTAAATTATAAAACACTTAAATAGTTATCACTCTTGGCTAGTTACATTACTTTTATGGTTTCATAGTAAGAACATAAATCCGTTTATATATTCATTTTTTATTATACAAATATTTTTTTCAACCACCTGTATAGTATACGGTGTCATACTACTCATAATTTAAATATAGAAAAAATGACAATGCCCTTGAAGCACACTGTAGTATCTGCATGGAGTTCTCTACATTTTACTGGTTTGTGTAGGTCTAAATCTAAGTTCATATGGTGTGAGCATGCTAGTTGTAGTTGAAAACCGTTTCTTGACAATAACTTGTGTCCACATTTCAACTTTCCATTCTCGTTTTTTACCCTAATATTCAATTTTATCTTTGTCATAAAAGGAAAACAGGTAGCTAGTTACTAAAATTTGCATGGTTTTCCAATCTACGTGACAAGGTTTTAGTGATTTGTTTTAGCTGCATAGGGAGACAGAAACTACAATGTAAATCGAAAGATTCAAATATAGTTTTGTAATTGTTAGTTATACACTTCTTTAAACAGGAAACTTTAAATAAGTGAAGTGGTGAATGTATAATCTGAAAGGTAGAATACTATATCCTTTTAGTTTTTTGGATTTGCTCATGACAAACTAAAGCCGGAGGATGTGACATGTTGGGGCATGGATGGATACTTTATTCCAAAGTAGACTAATAGTTTTTAATTAATATACCTTGCAGTTGATCTTGCTGAAGTATGCCATCCTAACAATTGCAACATTGGGTTGCTCGCTTATTCTCCTCTAGCGGGCGGAGCATTGTCCGGTAAATATCTAGATATTCATTCTGAAGCTGCAAAAAGAGGGAGGTTGAACTTATTTCCTGGCTACATGGAAAGATACAACAAGTCTATGGCCAAAGTATGTCTTACCACTTCTAATTAAACTTATTGCCTCAATGCTTTTGATTTTTGTTCAATAAACAACTTATTGTCTAATATTTTAAACATGTTCCCTAATAATAGTGAGCTTCTGGTTCTCAATATATACCTTTTGGACAGTTTGACTTATTTTGTTCCTATAGTGCATGAAACTTGTTCACCGAACAGATTGAGATAATAAAACTATTATTTTCTGATTTAATTTAATCGATCATCTTGTGGGAAACCACAATGCCAATCTAATCAATATCGGTTTGGGTTATGTATTCCTTGTTTTGGTTCGGTTTAGTTCTATTTGGCTGAATATTCAGACTTGTTATATAACTCTTCATATTCCAGGATGTCACGGCCAAATATGCTGATGTGGCCAAGAAACATGGGATGAGCCTTGTTGAGTTGGCACTTGCATTCACAAGAGACCGACCATTTGTTACTAGCTCGATAATAGGTGCAACCACAATGGACCAACTAAAAGAAGATATCGATGCCTTTTTGACGACTGAGCGGCCTTTGCCACCTGAAGTTATGTCTGATGTCGAATATGTTTTCAAGAGGAATAAAGATCCAGCTATCGATTAGGTTGGCTGGACTATTTGAACCTATAGAGCAGACTCAGCAGGAAAGACCTATCAGGTTTGCATTGATTTCAAAAATATTGCCATGTCGTCCCAATTAATTGTTAGCTAGATCTCTTGTATTAAATTGAAGTGATTAGGACCAAGGGCATATATCTGGAGAAAATTTGTCTGAATGGAAGTTATAATAGTTTCAAATCTTGTAAAACTAGTACGACACCCTTGCATTTCGCAGTTTGATATTAAAAATGACGTTGATAAAAATATTATTTATTAGATTTTAAAATATTTTCCTAAATATAATATTAGTTGTCGATGAATTGTATTCAATATCACTATTATTATCATAAATAATAATCACAAACAACATGGATATGTGACTCTAAAAACAACATATAACTGATTGTGACTCTTTTGATCCAATTTTTTTTCTCTCCTTATCATTCAGAAAAGACAAAAAAATTTCAGGATAATAAACATTGGCTAGAATTTCTCCTACATAATATCATATTTTTTTTTTATAAAATTTAAAAATTAAATAAATATAACTTATATTTGAAAAAAAAAGTATTTGTTACATTAATGACACTTCTTGAAATTTTTTCTAAAACGTCTCGATACTAAAATAATTTTCATCATTTCTAAATAAAAAAAGACATTATTTCTATCCTATAGATAAATTGTTGTCGAATAAATCAAGTAAAAATGCACAAATATCAATCAAAATTAAAAAAACATTAAATACTTAAGAAAAAAATATATAATGACTCAATTTTGGCCCACATATTTTTCACTTTTTCTGATTGGCAAAATAAATTCAATAATTCATTTATTTGCAAAATAAGTCTGATGGTGATCAAAATGACGTGCAAGATAAATCACTTTTTGTAAAGTTACAAATAAGCACAATAATCGTTAATGTTCTTGTCAATAACAAATTACTTATTTTTTGGCATGTAACTTATGCGAAGTGTAATTTAATATAATTTTATAAAAGGTACATTAATAAAAAAAATACATTTAAATTTTATTATATAAATTATTAAAATATAAAAATTTATTTTGATAAAACGGACATTTATTATGTATTTGTTAGTCTCATTTTTGTTGCATTTTTCTTGATTGTTTTGCCTTTTTTTTTTCCTGTTTTAGGTCTTTTGTTTGGTTATTATTCTGTTTTGTGGTTTGTTGCTTGTTTTCTTCTATTTTGGGTTTTTCTACGTTTCGTTTGTGTTTCCTGGTTTTCTTCGTATTCTTGTTGTTTTTGGTGTGCAGGTCGTGAGATTCGGGTGGATATGATTTCAAGGAAAAATTGGTCGTGCGAGTGCAATTAACTAGAAGGGAGTGTTGGGGTCGATCAGAAACAAACGGAACTCAATTCTAAGTTCGGATGAGCTCGAATGAGCTCGAAAAGCAAAGTTGCGCAAGTAGGCCACCAGCGCGCCGTGCGAGTATCGCGCGCGACCTATGTCACGACCGTACATAAACCTCATGTCTCCAAAGGCCCCGCCGTGGTGTGCAAGAGGCTCGCGGCTCGCCACAGCTCACGCCCACGCAGAGTGCCCATCAGCCCTGCCCGTCGCGCCGCGATGCGTGACGCAGACAGATTTTATAAAAACTTGTTTTTGCTCAATTTTTTGAATACTTTTCATTGGGACCCCTTCCTAACTCTGGGAAAACACCTCCAGAACATTCTTTATCAGCTCTTTCACCCTAATACACTTTAATCTTCATCTTGGAGAGTAACACTCCAAGATTCGGTTTTCGGGTTTTGCTTGAATTTTGGATTTGACATTGGATTCTATATAATCGCAAGCATTGCTTTTCGTTTAATCTATGAAGCTGCTGATTTCTGTTGATATGGTGCTTTGTGTTGAATTCAATATGCATAACTAAATCCGATTGCTAGGGATAGGAGATATCTGGTTTGTTCGCGATAATCGGACTTTGAATTGTTCTCTCTCATGCGAGTTGTTTTGAAACGAATTCTTGAATTCGTGCCTGGAAGTTAAATATAATTGAAGAGTGACACTTCAATCTTGCAATTGAGCCCAATTGGATATTGTTCTTTCGAGTTAGGGTTTTTGATTCTAAGCGATTAGTCGATTAATCATCTTCTAATTTAATTAAGCAACTTTTAGAACCGAAAGGGGAGAAGTTGTAGACCTACGCTCATATTAGATAGACGATTTTGTAAAAGAATAGTCTATAGATTTTTGGATTGAAATGCACGGTCGTCTACAACCGTTCCCTTGTTACGAGAATTATTGGGATCAGACCTTAGGCCGATGTGTATGCTTGAACTTGTCCATCTATGTTCAATCCCTTGTTACGAAAAGTTATTGAGAGCGAACCACTAGGTGATTAAGCGAGAGTGTCAATCTTGAACCGAACAATTATTTGCACGATTTTGCGTTTACAATCAAAATAATTTATCCCCGACTCTCTAGCTTCTTTATCATAGATTGATTCATTCTTTTGACTTGATTTCCGATTTGGCATTTTCTAATATTGCGTAGAGGACAGTTCAAACAACATTTCTAAATTAGAGTGTTTAAGTCATATTTTGCTTTTGTATGCAAACAACATTGATTTAGAAATTTGACGTCGTTGTCGGGAAAGACAAGTAAGACATTTAATTTTGGTGTTGATTTTATTTTCTTGTGTCTCTTTGTTTTCTGATTTTCGTGTTTGTGTTCTTTCTTTGTGTCATTTATTTCTGTTATTTTCTTGCTTTTTGTGGCTTTCTGTGGTTGTTTTGTTCTTGTATGCAGGGCATTTGACAAAAGAGCTTAATGAACTCTGGCTACTCAATCACATTCTCATACACTCGATCTTAGAATCAGGGGCCGAGCTACGGTTCCTGGGACTATGTCCAGGCATGTTCGTATCCTTACAAACAACAGTGGGATCAGTACCAGTTGAGCAATCAAATGAGTCCTTGGAGGATACCTCAGAGTACAATACAAAGCTCGATTGGAATTTCGCTATTCTGACATCCCAAACAACCTAAAGGAAAAAAAATCTTGAGGCCAGAGTCGATAGCCTAGCGGAGCGCATTCTAGCTATGGAAGATCGAGTTTACAATTCTTTCCTCGATTCTCTTGTGCAAAATGAACCTCGAGAGGAGACTTTGATGTATGATGAAAAACTCGATCTTGTTCTACCTCGTGTGTCGGCCCAAACAACTAAACTGGAGGAGTTTGAGGTTGAGTGTGCTCTGGTTGATGGTAAAATTGGACGGTATGACGGAGCACATTCAATTCATTGAGACACGAGACGATGAGCCCATTATCGATGACCCCTATCATATACTTGGTGCCCGGACCTGTAAGTCGATGAAAATGGGCGAGCTTGATGACGAGGAGAATGTGATCCCACATGTCAAGAGTGATACCCCAGTGGAGGAGATTCTTGAGCCCGATCGATAAGTCCTTGAGTTTACATATTCTCAAGTTTCTCCTTCCATCACCGAGTTGGAGCGTCCACCTTCCGAGCCATTACCCTGTGCTACTAAGTGGGTCGGATTTAGCTCGACTTGCCCCACAGACGCGATCATATTTCCCGAGGTTGACTATAGAGATTCGGTAGAAAAATCTCTCTGTTACTTACTTGTGACTGTCATGCCCACGCCTGCTTCTTCAAGAACATAGCCACCTAGACTCACCGTGCCCGCCTTCATGCTACACTTCCCGTGCTGCCACTTCTAGAGAATACGAAGGCGTGACATGATTGTCACTTCTTTTGGGACCCAACTGATTTCTACATGGGCTTCGTTAAGCTAACGACGTTAAACAAGTACTTCTTAGGAGGCAACCCAAGTTCTATATATTGCTTTCTCAATTATTTTCTTTTATGCTTTTTAGAGTTTTTTTTTCTTTGAATGAATTGAGTTATGGAGTTTTTTGTGACTCTCATGGCAGACATGAATTTGCGAGCTCGAGCATGGGGATTGTGTTGAACAAGACATATCGAGGTTCTAAGTTGAGCGTGGGCGAGCACTTTGCACTTGAATGCTTATTCTCGACGCTGCCACCAAAATTCTAAAAATTTTAAAAAATTTCAATTAAATTCATTAAGACTTTTATATTTATAAAAAGTCTTTATAATTCTCAATTAAATATATATAGACTTTTTAGTAGTCTAATAATAATAATAAAAATTTTAATGAATATACCAAAATTCTAAATATTAAAAAGTTTTTAAAATTTCAATCGAATGGAAATCCTTCCAACCGGTGGAATGGAACCAAATAATACACTCTTGGCTCTCCTAATAAAACTAAAAGGAGATGTTGTAGTCTTCCCGTCGTCACCACCAGAAGCCATTCTCCCCGTCGAATAGACATTCAAGCTTAAAAATATGAAACTCATTAGGTTCATAATCGATGTTCAATTTCTAGGTTTCTCACTCTTTGGACGCTAACTCCGGTCTTCATGATTGATATGCTCTCTCCATCCTACTCTAATAATTTATGGCGATCTAGGCAATGTTTCTTCGAGATAGGCAATTGAGAGTCTCAAAGCAACGGGCGAGGAAAGTTGTTGGACTGCGCACAAGGTACTTTCGCGTCATTACTATATTTTCTTGATATGTTAAACGAAAAAATGAGTCTTATTTATTTGAAGATTTTCAAGTGATGATCTTATTAAGTATGAAAATAGATATGGATGATGGATGAACGAGATTCATATTGATATCTTATGTTTTTCTCTTTAAGCTTTTGGTAGTTAGACATTTAATAAGAGATTTATTGTGATTACCATTATTCATGAGATTAAAGCACTCGCTGTGTATCATAAATTGGTAAGAACAGCAAGATTAATGTATGGAGCTAACATGAACAAATGCATCACTTGTTTCATGGTACTCTATGTTATCTAGAAAATCCAGTCATCAAGATATCAATCTTTTACGTATATGCTCTTGATTTTTCCCTGTGATTCATTTCTCGGGGTAGCAAAAATCATCTAGTAATTCAAGAGCAATGAAAGTCCCCGACTTGTTAGCTCAGCCAAACTACTCGAATGGAAGCACCTTCAGATACTTTTCTCATCCTCGTTTGCATCGCCAAACATGTAAGAATGTAGATTCAAAACTGCTTATGAGATTTTTCATTTCACCTCAGTACTTCCACAGATGCCAAACACTTTCCAATATTATTACAAACTCGCTCAATTTTGTTTCTAGAATCAGCTGTGTGAATGTCATTTGGTCTTCTATTCCTTGAGTATCCCGATTAAAGAAAGCAGATATGAAAATTAGCTGTGAGAATGTCATTGCTTTTCTATTTCTTGAGCTCCGATTAAAGAAAGGAGATATATTACTATTATGAAACACGTAGTTGGTAAAGGCGCAAAACGAGGCGCTCGCGTCGATGTTGTGGGACTTGAGAAAAGAGTAATATATATATATATATATATATATATCATAAAAAACGTAACTATTTATGACATGTGCATGCGTTAAGTCAAAAACCGAAACTTGCGTAACAAGGAAACAATTTTATAACATAAGTATGTCCCAAAGCGTACCTTAGACATCCATAATCAGGAACCAAAAGGAAGGATTACTTTTGGTCATTCTTCATATTAATTTCTCGGTACTAATTTCTAAATTGATGTTGAAATCCAAGACAAGCTCCGTTATATGCTAATTGGCTTCATCATCATAAAATTTCTCAAAGTCGTCCTCTTTCTCTTATTCACTAAATTCTTCAGTGTTCATCATCACTCGACTTCCTCTTCTTCAAGTTCACCTTATTGGTCTCAAAGCATTGCGAAGTGCTAATCCTCATAGGAATTTTTTTTCCATATCTTTAACTTGGTTAGGTCTTTCACTTGGTCCAGTAGTAGAAAGAGCGTTATTACTCTAATTGAATTGCTGTTCATTTATTTCTTATATTTATTACATGTTTAATAAGTGAACACCTTAGAGAACCCAAAAAACTTAGGCCAAGTCTGTTAAGTATCTGTAGTATAGCCCACTTAAGTTTAAGACTCTAGGACAAGACCCAAGTTAATAGAAAAATAGGGCATTTTGAAAAAACGAAACACCCTAGACTTTCATGATGTGTGCCTCATTGTGCCCTTATGAGCCTATGAGTAGCTGTGCTCCTGTCTAAAACCTAGTGCCTTAAAGGTCATGAGCGCAAAACTCTTTGCCTTGTGTGCATCTGACAACTATGATTTAATGGAGGCTCTAGGTGGCAACCACATAAGATTTAACATATATTTTTTTCTTCTAATGGTTGCAAGACGTCATTATTTGATTTAAATCTTTTTTTTTTTCTTTTTTTCTTTTTTTTTTTTAACTCAGGTAATCTCCATCTTCTCACCAAACCATATATCACACACACTGAACATATTAGTTAGGATACTGATGGATATTTAAATTGGATGCTATGTTATTTAGTTTATATTTGATTATATTTGATTTATATTTAAATTGGATATTTATATTGTTGTTGTTGTTGTATATAAATTTAAAGTTATTATAAGGTCTGTTTCATGTTTGGAAAAAGTTTATTAGGTGGCTAAAATGATATGAAAATTTGATATTTAGTCTCTTTCTTCTAGTTTTTTATGTTCTATGCTAAGATTATACATAATTTTGTTCGTTGTCACCTTATTCATTTAGTTTGTGCATGCGTCAAATATCTAAGTCTTTCATGTTATTAGGAGAATTAGGAGCTCATATCTTAAAAATATGTTGGATAATTTTGCATGATTGAGAAACTCCCTCTCGGAATTTCCTCTGATCCACAATATAGTTACATGACTGGAAAAAAAAAATGTTGATTTTCTTCTATGCCTCTTCCTTCCCATTTCAAGGTACTAATGGAAATACTGAGCATTTTATTACTTGAGATGCAGCAGTGTTATCAAATTGCAATAGCGGTGTGGCAGGGTGGATCTCTGCCTAACTGGCAATAAAAATTTTTGTGACGGATGTTATGGCGGCGCCACGAGCTGCCATGGTGAGATTTCAGCCTGCCGCCACCATTGATAACACTGAGATGCATTGGCTTCAATTTGTGGACATTTCACATTGGTTTTATTGAACACAATGCAAGTGTATTAAAAACTAAATATGAAATTAGTTACTAAAACTCTCTAAAATTGGTAATTTAATTTAGAAAAGTACTTCTACTTCAGTTCTTGCTCAATCCCATACACTCCTGAGGAGTCTCTACCGCCCCGTGATGATTGATGAGCCTCTTTTTAGTTGGGGATTTTAGCTTCTACCGTTTGTATAAGCTAGGATCAGATATCCAGGAGAAGATGATGCATATGAAAATTGCCCACTTTTTTCAAGAAGAGATGTGAAAGATGCTCAATATCGTTCAACGTAGTTGACCCAACATCTGTTGTTTGAATAAACCTTCTACCTCAAGTTGTACTTTTTCACGGATGGCGCACACACATGAGATTATAGTAAGTGTTTTTGCCTCTTCATCTGAGAAAGATAATCAAACAATTCCGGATCATAGTAAATTAGTCCGTACAATTAATAACTATTTTTCTGTGATAAAACCACTATACTAAAAATGGGCCTAGGGGCCGCCTCCAATTTGCATGAATCGGCTGAAAAAATCGGCCACGTGGCGCCTAAGCAGACCTAGACAGGATTAGGCGCTCATCGGCGGCGCCTAGGCGGGCTCGGCGGCAAATTTTCAGTTTTTATTTATTTATTTTTTCTTTCTTTTAAATACTAATTGTATTATTTTCTGTCACGTTTTCTTTATAATATATTAGTATTATTATCTGGACTTAGGTGTGTAAATTGATTATAAGTTGAGATAGTTTTATTTTGAGGTAGTGAAAATAAATAACCAATAAGATATTTAATCTTGATTTCTAGGCTCAAGTCCCCCTAGGCTCCGCATAGGTGCTCTAGGCACTGGTCGAGCGCCTAGCGACTTCTAGAACACTAAATAAAACATATCATTTCATTTAATTGCAACATTAATGAGTGTTTATAAGCATTGAATTAGAAAATGCTCATGATCAATCCTTATAATCAATAAAATTTTGCAAAGAAAATAAAAATCTAATATTGAGTTTCAATATTTGCTATACCCGTTGGAATTTTCATATGCTGTTTGCAATTCATATGACAAAACTTCGTTTCATAGTTTGAGTAAGTGATTATAAATGAGAAGGCCTCCCAATGAGTGTATTTAAGCTTCTTATTCTGCTCCAATCATATGAATTTAATACATGACAGACATCCACATATTAAATCTTGCCAAGATTGGATACAAAAATGCAATCTTGTGTATATAACTAGGGATCTCACGAATGACAGAATGTTGGTAGACTTAGTTAGCAGCGGAAGTTAGTAGTTATAACTATACTATATGAAAAGGTTATGTACTTAAAATTGCAATACGACAGGAAAAGAAAATGGCAAACTTTAATCTCGGGTTCTATGGATATTGAACTTTTGTTAGCAACTTTATGATTTGTTCAATAAATATTAATGCTGTGTAGTCTTCTTAAGCATTAAATTCATTTTGCATAAAACACTTTAGTTGGTTTCAAAAGTAATTATGTGCTTACTTCGCTGTTGGAGGTGAGCTGTTGTAAAAGAATATTTCTTCTCTCTTTGTTTAGCTTTGTCTATTGTTACTTCATTAGTAATGCACATTAAGGGGATACCACTTAAATCACAGTATGAAGAGTGCAAACCTTACTCCAAATGATTACCTGTATATTCTATTTTATACAATAGATACATGGATTAAAACTCTTTACTATTTACCCAATAGATAAAGTTTAAAAAATATGGCACGAAAGTTACGTGAACCGCTTATCTCCAGAAAGCATATTTAGCATGGGTTCACAATTTCCAAGAGCCATTACAATTTATCTTTTCAAAATTTTGAAATAATGTATGAGCTGTTTGGTAAGATAAATACAATCAGTTCTAACTAATCTATTCAACGCCTTTATTTCTTGACTGAGTTTACAATAAGTACAGTAAATATTTGCAATTATTCACTGTGAGACAGATATGAATTTGAACGGCAAGCCAGCTTTTTTCCTTCTATAAATCCCATGTTTCCAGGTGAGCTTTTCCATTCTCTCCTTGTACGAAAACACTTGTTTTGCTATCCAGTCTGTGCATACAAAAAATATTCCAATGTTTTAGGCATGTCTGTTAGTCGTCCTTTCCGGCCATCCTCAAGAGTTTAGCTTTCTTAGCAGCCTTCCTTTTGCTTCCTTGATGTACAGCATGTCATCTCGTAGCAAGACTTCTTCTCCTAGTCAAAGCATGGAGCCATCTGATAATAGGAAAACACCCACGGGTTCACGCCTGACTCCAATAGCGTGCCGTGTGTGTAATGAAGTTTTCTTTAACAACGTGAGCCTCATCCTACACTTTGAGTCTCACGTCAGAGATGAGGTGTCAATGGCCAGGTTAGACCTGGCATTTCTGCAAAGTGGCAGGCATTCATCTTTGAATTCACCACCATTTTCCTCTTCCGTTGAGCAAACGGGCAACCCTCATTGTGAACCAGATGGAACCCTCGTTGATATATCAAAAACACTCCGTCATCTGACAAGGATCCACCGTAGGTTTACCCCATCCGCATCATCCTACCCATTAATATATTCTGAAGCAGGTATGAGGAGCTTTGGTCCAGCTGGCTCTGAATCTGTGCTTTTTCCATTACAGTTTAGGGGGAAGATTGGGGGACAAGGGCAGCTGTTAGCTTATAAGAATCCCCACCTGAAGCAGCTGGAGAAGCCCATCCCAGAGGTTATTGTCATAAGTGATGATGAGGAAGATGAGAACAAGAGTGCTGAGATAGACCTGACGTTGAAGCTTTGAGGGACTCATTAATTACCGTGATATGATATCATTGTATTTCTTGTTTCAGTGCGAGTAATTGTTTCTTGTCTGATTGTTCTTCCTATTAGTGTCAGGTTTAGTGCCATTTTTTTTAATGAATGAGTATTTCCTATTTGAATTTAACTCCCATTTGGAATTGAATGAGGAAATTCAAAGGTAATATTTTTACCTTTTTTTTTGGTTTTAAAAGGAAAATACGGACAAAATCATACTCTACCGAGTTGGTGGACTACGTGTTCAAAAGCATATATGAATTAGTGATTCACTAAACTTATTTTTAAATGATGTGTTAATATAAAGACATTAAGTTGAATTATAAAATTTGTGAAAAAGAATAAGAAGAAAATAAAAGAATTTATTTATATAAACCAGTTTTTTCAGGTCTTTTCCCCGTGTCGCCCGGTTTTTGGCCAACTCAACCGGTTTTACTGGTTCAAACAGTTCTCTAGTTCGCAGGCGAACCAGTTAATTTGGTCCGGTCTTTTAGGGGGCGATTAGTTTATTGTTTATACGGTAGAAAAACCAATCAAAACTCAAATTTAACTCAACTTTAACTCAACCCCACTATCTCCCATATTATCAATATAATTAAATAATATCAACTAATCATTCTTACACATCACGTCAACTTTAATTCACTATTCATCCACTCACATAAGTTTAACTAACTATCACTTCCAATCATTTTTCTTATATTTTACATCAAATCAACTTTAATTATTAAATATATCCACTAACAACTAACCATACCACCTTTTTTCAAAATTAATTATAGTTGAAAACAAACCAATTAAAAACTAGTTGAATCCATAGATAATCACCTCCTTAATTATTGCAGTTAAGACTATTAAATTCCTTACATATCTTAATTGCTTGTTTTTTACGTTTGAATTGGGAAAAGAAGAACGAAAGGAAATCTATTTGGTTACTGCCTTTTTGTCTCATATTACCTCAGTAAACCATTAATTGTGCTGTCTAAATCTTAGTGAATGATTATGTTAAATTGAAAAATGAAAATTTCCCTTTGCCTCGGTCCATTATTGACATTCTAAATATAGATCATTTAACAGTTATACTACCTATAATTTATAATTCTATGTTCATCCATGCTTTGTATAGTTTTTGGGTTTTCCATTTGAATCTGCGTTAAAACCTAAATTTTATAAAAGCTGTCATAAATACAGAACAACAAATATGCTTTTTAGTGCTTAGATATTATATATACTAGTACAATACCCGTGTATTACACGGGTGGTTGATAAAATAATTAAATGTACAACAGAAAATGAAGAAAAAAATATTTATATATTTTGTTGAAGTTGGAAAAAAATAATAAGGAACAATATATAACAATTTATATAAAAAACTAAGTGAATTAACAATATTATTTTAAATTTGAAAACTAATTTATATACATTATTAATTTTATTTACAATATATTCATTTAAAGCTCATAAGGGAATAATATGGACAAATTACAAAATTTTGAAAGTAAAATTATATGCACATTATAGAAAGAAGATAACAAATAGATTTATATGGAATAGTTTAAATATATTAAATATATGTATATATATGGCAATCGGAACCTAAGTTATTTGGTATAAAAAATTAGTAATTTTTATCCGAGCCATATTACGAAGCATAATATTTTGTCACATAAGATTACGAAGCGTGCTAAGCTGCCACTCAGGCATAGCGCGTTCTGAAATTATATATGAGGGGATATGAAGAAAAAAGGTGGTTTATTGCATTTTGGTTAAGCTAACCAAAATTAACAACTGGAGTCGAAATTGTAATTTATGTTTCTGATGCAAATCAAAATTTTGTTTTCATTTGCTAGGTATCTTAAATATGTGTGCACCTAATAATTGCATACGGAGATAACTCTTAGGGATAGAAAGTGGGCCATGGCCACCTTAGTGATTTTAAAAATCTGTGTATTGCTTGTCTGTGGCGTTATTATAGCAGTGAAAGTAGTATCTAACTGGATGGCAGTCTAGCAGATGCTAGTAGAATTCATGGCTAGTTATGGGATTTCTTGCAATGCCCTAGGACATGCTGAGATGATTCCATACCTCCAGGGACGGAGCAAGAACTCCCTCTGACAAAAAAAATCCTAGTAGAGTACAATAAATGGTGAATTAATGTCTTGAGCAGAAAAAATGTAATTCAATTTTGGCAGTCCACCGTGTTATTTCCTTCTATTTCATTCAAATAAAAGTTTGTTTTCTATTGTTTTAACCTCAATGTTTGTTATCCTAGTCCGCTCACAGATAAATCCTCGATTCGCCCATGCATGGAGCTCAATGCCAATGTAGTCATCTATTTTTCCCTTTTATCAGTTTTACCTCCCAATCTTCACATTTAAGTTATGTCTCCAGTACTTGTACCAACACTTCATTTAAAGGGTGAGCCAAACCAATTGAGCTACATGCTCGCGGTTCATTAGGAGATCTTTCGCTATGCCACTATGCCAGTTTTGAACTAACTTCGCTTTGTTCTACCATTTTGTTTTATACATCATCATCATGTCTCATCTTTTCATTCTCTCTAACATTCCCCATCCCCGACAACTGCTGAAAGGTGTACCTAATATTAAATATGTTTACGGAAATCGATGAACTTCTGTATTGCATAAACACAGGCAATTGGAAATGACTTGAAAATGCAGAAAGGGTTGCATATTATAGTTATGTTCCCGTACCACATAGCTGATAGGTGGTACTGGAAAATCAATATTGAATATTCATTGATATTAGAGTGCATTGAAAATGCATTTGGAAGTGTAAACAAAATTAGATTTTATAAATTCACGATACTTTCGTTTGGTTGAATAAGTGTGAGAGTTTCTAATAAACATTAGTATTTGATAAGAAGGAATACTTTTATTTGTATGTTTGGATAGCATATTTTGAAATTTGTGTATGCAACTCCTCAAAACGTTGGTAGCAGTAGGGTTGAAATAATCCAATCGTAGCCGAAACTTCTAATGAATGGTATAAAGGTTGAAATGGGTACTTTGAACAACGTGCTTTTGTGCTGCCAATCTCATTGAGTAATCTTCCCCACATATGAAACATGCGCATTTATGAAAAATTTATATTAGAAGGGAAAATAGCATTTTCCAACATGAACTTTGAACACTTTTGCACTTCATTTCTTTTTCAAGTAGCATTGTAGCAACCTAAATTTTGTGTATTTTTCAGTTTTACAATTTATTATTGAATAACTTCCTTTGTGATTAAGAATATTCATCTATAGTTCTGTGGAGGTTGCAATGTTGAAAGCTAACATAGGTTACTGGTTGGAAAATATGTACACATATATTTGTTTGGTTTGCAAATTGTAAGAACGACATAATTTGGTGTTGCAAAAAGTGATTGCCTCTTGAGAGAACTTATAGTGAACTCTTATAGGTACAAGGGAATGACTCATAAGAAGCTAGGTAGCATTACACATATAAGACCTATAATATATTCATATTCATCCCATAATTGTGCATTTGTTTTCTTACTTTTTATGGTTTTAGTCACTTTTACAGGAACATATCTGCATGAACATTTAGAAATTCACTCACAGTTCCAGTTTCTTTCATGTTCATGATGCTTATGCTGTAACATTATAGGAAGATCAGTTGGGAAGAGTGATGCTGCTTGACACCAGAAAAGGAACAGTAATTGTTGAAGTATTGATGGCCAAATTGCTTTTATGTGGTGTGATCTTGAACACAAGTTGATTGGGTAAGATTAACTGGATGTGAGAACATTTCTATTTATAATGTTTCTGTACTCTGTTTTATCATATTTGCTTGTGCTGGTCTCGGCATTCAATTGCTCAAATTATTGCTAACACGAAGAAAGTAGCTGTTTCTT